TATATATATATATATATGGTGGTGGGGAGAGTGGAGAGAGGGAGGAAATTGAATTAAAAAAAGGTGCCTATACACCACAAGGTGTAGAAGGAGATCTATGCATGCATGCATGCAACAGATTGACGATCCGCCCTAACTAAACTGCAGCCTGTAAGGGTGTCTCCTGGAGGGGAGAAGAAGGAGACAGTCTCGCTAATTACATCCTTAAGGGATAATGAGCCGCGCGGGGGAAAACAATACCCGCGGGTTCTGCACTTGCACAACCAGCGCCTTTCAGCTTTTCTTTTTCTGGACAATGCACGTTTTTTTACCAAGGTAACGACGTCGTAAACATGCAAAAGGACGTTTTACGTTTATTCCTTAGACTCGCTGCACTCCTGCGCGGGCTTTCTGCGCCTGAGGGTCTTTTCATATCTCCCTCTTGTCTTTTTTCGGGTTTCCAGCCATTTATGTCTCTGAATTGGGAAGGGGTACGCAGGTGAGCTTGGATCTGCGGGAGGCGACGATGACATAAATGCACCTGCTCGCGCACAGGCGTTTCGATGCTGCAAGTGCAGCATCCGGTCCTAGTCTATCAGTTCAATTCTCGGCCTCCGCTTTGGAGCGCGGCAAGTTTTGAAGAGATTAACTCGAAGTAAACCCGTTTGCATTTCATTAGAAGTCGGGTGCCCAGCTCTGACTGCACGGCCTTTCGGGGGGAGCACATCAAAATCCTAAGAAACCTAGCTGAAACTGGCTCACTTTGATTTTGTCTCAAACTATCTACGAAGACAAAATACAACCCTTCATACTGGACTTAACGCGTTTGTATAGCTACATGGCTCGTCAGCCGCGTCTGTTTGCGCCTGCGCCACCCCATGACCGCTGCCCCAGTTCGGTGGGGTCGGTGGGTGGGACACAACACTTGAAGTGAAGCTGCCTCCATGGAGGGCAGAGGACACGAGACCTGTCCGCCCTGCCTCGCACACGATGGCTAGCCGCTAGATGGCTGAGCGAATTGCTTAATTGCTCGGAGCTTTCGTATAGCGGAGGAGCTTAGAAGAGCTCCCAGGGCTCGTGGCCCAACGCTCCTCTGTCCCTCTCTTTCTGGAATTTTCCTCCGAGAAGCTACTTAGCAAAGGTGAAAGAACGACTGCTTGAGATTAAATGTTTCGTTAGATGTGCGTTGCGTTCGTGATCCTGGTTACGAAAGGAGCAAGGACGAGAGCGCGAAGGGAGGGATGTAGCACCAGCTTCCCCTTCGTGGTGACCCCCTTACTGAAAATGTGTTTAAAATCATATAAAGCAGCTGTTTTAACTCTATTCATGGTAAATTAAGTACGAGTAATTCTGTGTGGTCTTCAGTCAATGTTTGGGACTTTACCGGGCGCAGCCGACGGACGAGAGTCGAGGGTCGGTCCCTTTATGCCTCATTTGTTGCAGCCAACATCTGTGCTTGTTTCCTTTTCCGAATTTGGTTATTATTTGTTTTTAATGAATTGTTTTTATGCGAAGCGAAGAGGGGGCCACACGCAAAAAGACCGAAACCTTCGGACCAAGCCTCGGTGACCGCCGGCCCCTGGTGGTGGTCGCGTATTACTGGCTCCTTTGTTTCTACTCCCCACAGAAGCCGGCTTGCCCGATATCTTCGAAACCTAAAACGCCCTTTATAATACAAGCTCATTGGCCTTGTCCAGCGCTGTTCTCTGAAGGGGTTTACAGGAGGTGCGTAACACACCTGCGAGTCGGAGTCCAAACCGTTGAAGAAGCGGTTCCTACGGCCTATCTGAACTAACCGTTCCCCTTGAGTTGCTCTTTAGCTCCCCTTGCACTACTGCAAGAGTTTCAGCACCCTATGGAAGAGGGGGTTGCCGGCCTTCGGGCTAGAGTGCCTGCTAGGAAACGGTTTCTGCGTTCGCTCAATTGCACTGGCCTTGTTTTGGAGTAGTCAACAGCGACAGAAGCTTGCTCATGATGAAACTGGAGCCGTCTCGGGCCCTCAGCCTTTTAGGCACCCTGGGCCTTCTCGTTGCAGCATTTCTCCCCCTCTCCATCGCTGCAAACCCTGCTAGTAAGCACACACCACATTACAGAGTCGTAAGAACTGGCTCCACCCATAGAGTAAGTGCTTTTCAAGGCAGTGGCATCTACATTCACACCCTCAAGCAAAAGCAGATGCACACATGAAGGTAACCGCATCTGAATGTGCACAATTTGATCCCCTACAATTCCTAGCCGACCTATCACCTGAATCTGACTGTCCTTCCTTTTTTCGACATACAGTGATCCGATTTGTCTGCCTTGCGCTGTATTTTCTGTGGTTGTACAGCATTGTTAGCTGTTCGCCAAGTGCTACCGTCCGAATTAATTTTACCAGAGGACATCAGAGTGGCGAGGAGGGGCGAGGGTCTATTTTTCGAGGATGCTGGGGTCGTAGGAAAGGTTCCAGAGGGCACAGCCGTGCTTAAAGTTGGCGACTCAGATGGGCCAGACCGCCTCCGGCTGTACGTAGTGGACTTCTCGAAGGAAGAGCATCTCGAGAGTGGTGGGTCTTGATTTTATGGCCCAAGAGACAAGCGTGCAGCATTCGGAATTTCACATGTTTGCTAGTCTATTGTGATGCTCCTCAGTGCTTGCGGAGTCCGGATATCCTGTCTTTTGCGACTTTCGTGCCCTTCGCCGATGCTTCACACGGCCAAGCGAGACCAGTGTGGAATATCTCCCACATGGAGCTGTCATAACCGCTGGCGAAGGCATGGAGCTCGTCTATCTGCACTTCCCTAGTGGGGGCAGTATCCTCAAAAGTGGGTAGAGGCACTTACACGGAATGGGTGCTGTGTACACAAAAAGCGGCAGATCTCTCTGCCTTTATTCCAAAGTTAGGAGTCTGAAATGCAGGCAAAAACGCAGAGATCGCATTGCCCTTCTAAGAGGGACTTCCTGCGTGCGCCTGCTGTCTAGGGTCAGGCCAAACCTCTCCCAAAGGCACAGATCTGCTGACCCGGTTCATATGTGGGCCTCAAAGATGTATTTGTATGTGGATGTACCACTATGCAGGACACGGCGAAACGAAGCCACTGGCTTCATCCTATGTGCATGGGCAGTTCAAGGGGGAAGTCGACACGACAGTCTTAAGTAGGTGTACTTGTGATTTGTCAGTTTTACAAAACTTTCACATTTTACAGCAACACTAAGAAATCAAGTAAATATCGACATTTTATGCCAGCGCAAGATAAAGGCTATAACCGACCAAGCAGCGCTTGCACATAAAAGGGGTCACCCGTCAAGACTGGCTTATGGGGGTATTCCAATCTGTAACAGCTAGGGTTTCCAGGATGTCGGGCTGCTTTGTTTCTTCTCCTGCGGCAGAGTGCACATCGTTAGGGACCGTGTTTTTTCCGAGACAGTTTGATTCTTCGTCTTCTTCCATTGTAGAAGAGACTGAAGGGGAGATGCAAGTTTGCGATGTCACTCCCCCCCTCGTTACGGGAAAGCAAGCGGTGGCAATAACCGGCACACGAAGGGCCCCAAGAATTTTTTGCGAGAAGGGTTCAGGGAGACTCCTCCATTTTGAGCCTTATATGCAGACGACGGACTCGCACCTCCCGCATTCTCAGCAGCGTAAGCAGAACCTGCAGAGCTACATATGCAAATAGCTGTTCCTTCTTCGTCGTTGGCTTTCAGATTTTAAGCACACCCAACATAAGGAAGCAGAACAGACCTGAAGCGGCGATTTGTATTTGCCTGCCCCTGCATCGCTGGCAAAAAAATCCTTGATACAGATGTGACTTATTGCTGCTCTTGACGTACCTGCTCAAATTAGTCGAGAAGGTGCCATGGTTGGCTCACCTGCCAGCTTATAATTGTTCGATGCTTTCTCTTTGCGATCTGTGGTGGCCAGTGGAGCAAAAGTTGACAGGACGGCCTGCGACGTGTGACATGTTAAGCGAAGCCGAGGACCACATCTTCTCCGTAAAACGTTTTGACTCTGTACACGGGAAGTTTAGGGGAGAAAAGCTCGTATCGTATACCTCCGTTGCCGGCAAGAAGGCTTTTGTTCCTGGTCAGCTCAAACGCCATTTGTATGGAGCTCTTTGTCAAACCCTAGCGTACAGAGTTTCAAATTTTCGTAATAGTCTAGTGTATGCCTATTGCTGTCTTCAGTTAAGCTCCAGACCTTCCCTGAGAGCGAATTGGGAGTCCCTTGTTCCACGAGAAACTTCCGACTGATATACCAGCCCAACCACATTCTTCAAACCGAAGTGCAGCATGAGGCGCCTCTTGCATGCCACAAGCTAGCGCTTGCCCCTCTCAAAAGCGTTGAGAGGGAGGCGCTGCTTACGAAAATTCATGGTAGCAACTTGTGGATGGAGCTCCCAGCTGGTACTCTTCTTGGGCGTCCTGTAGATGATAAATCCGAAGCTATATTCAAATTGTATTCCTACCAACCAACTTTCACCACAACTTCGGATCTTCAAGTTACAGAGCTCCGTGAGGGAAACCACTGGAAGAAGAGGCTGGGGTGCCTCCCAGTCCCACGCTGCCATTTGCCCCATTGATACTAGAGCCTTATGAAAGGGGACAAGCGGCGTCATGAGTATTTGTGTTCCAATATCTTTCCATCGAATGCACTGTTGTCTACAGCCACCTGGAATAGGCGGGTTAGGGAAGTGTATCCGCATCTACGAAAACTACTACATCTGTTTGCGTATCCTGCTCTTGCTCAGATGCCATGGCTGACGACACCGAACTCGGCCCGGCCGTGATCTCCACTGCCGAACCTCCAAATGGAGGATCCGCTGCTATACTATATCAGCAACCCGATGCAAAGATGGTTTCCATTGGCTATCTTCAGGATGGGAGCTTTGTCGGTGGCCCGAATTTAGCATTCTTCACGCCAGATGCATTGAATGGAGAGAAAATATTAGAATATAGAGTTAACCAAATGCACCGAGGTTCTTCTCTTTTGCTGAGTAAGACTGGTGGTAGCTGCTCTGCACTGCCACGGGCTGCACAGACTACTAAGCACAGGGAAGGCAGTCTTTTCTCCTCCAGAAGTTCTCACTCGAAAGCAATGTTTAACTCATGCTGTTGATAAACGGTGCATATCTACGGGGCCATCTTAATTCTGCTGGGCTATCCGGTTTTCTCTCTTGTTCAGGCTCTGTCCCGGAAGCGTTGGTCTTGCAGCGTAAGTGTCGAGCGCAGCCTCGGCTATTCCAATAGGTTTGCGAACGCCGGTAGGGAAAGGGCATATGGGTATGGTTTTCAGGTGAATGAATTCGTTGCTCAGGCGACATCATACAATACAACACAGCTCAGCATGGAATTCCTGGCATAGGTAGGTCGAAACTCCTAGATTACACATTTTGCAGTACGTAGCCGCACAGTAGCACCAAAGGCCTGACGTGTGCGTGTTTCTCTTAAGTTAACTGAAAGAACGTGCTGTATTTCCCATGCCATATTTGTTCTCAGGACGAGAAACAGAAGAGATGCTCGCCATGCTTCACAGGCTACGTGATTACTTTTCTTCCAGTGGTATGTCAGGATGGTTGAATGTCTGCGCTACGCAGATATTTGCGCTACGCACTGTAGACCCTTGCACCGTGTGTATTTCTTGTCATCCACGAACATTCTGCTAATTGTGCTGTGCCGTTTCCAGCTGAAGGACAGGCTTTTGATCAGGCTCTGTTAGAAATAAACAAAAAAATAGGTGAGGCTCGCAGAAACTCAGACCGACACTACAGTTGCTTTTTCCTCCGCTTTCTGTACAAGTAAGCATCGTGTGGATAATGTAGCCCTCAACACTTGAACATTAATGCTTTTCTGGATGTCTGTGGAGTTTGTGGATGCAGCAAAGGTCAATGGCGCAGCAAAGGAACTAGCTACAAGCATGTTGAGTCGCCACAGGCCCACAGGTATTGTCGCCATTCTCTTCCTTTAGTAACGCATTCCGTGCGGTGACTCCATTTAGGCGAAGCAGTGCACATCTAATGTATCATTATTTCACCTCCTGGTTTTGGTAGAGTTCAACTCATTCAAGTGTGCACTTCCGTTGGAGATCGCAAACCAACTAGAGCCTGAGTGTGAGGATGGTTACAGGAGGAAAACCGAAAAACGTCGTCGTGGAATTGGCATATGCCGATTGTGAGTTTACCTACAGAAAGAGTCAAAACCCTAAAATTCCACCAAAATGAGTTTACAGAGTAACAAGAAACCTACTAGCGCGGCGTGTCATTGCGATGCTGCAGCGAGTGGCCAGCTGTCTGTGGTGCTCCGAGTTCCAATCAACATGTTGGAATCTCCCACAAGTCAAGGATTAATTCAACAGTTGCACATTGCCCTGTCGTTGATTGTGGAAGACACCACAGCCCTCCCCAGGGACTTGGCTAACCGTACAACTTTCTACGGGACAGCTCTTCACACACTTTACAAGATCCTGGAAAGCGGCCACTGCAGCAGCTGCCCAGAGGGCAAAACGGAGTGCAGTTTCTGCAGAGCAGTGATGTTCAGGGACTTTGTGCACGTAAAAATTCAAGGTGAGCTAGGAGCTGCGAAAGAAATCGAAAAGACGAATGTCTCGCCTCCAAGAAAAGTGGCATGACCTCTAGAGGTTCCACAAACGAATAGACGGTGCTGTGCATGGGACAATGTTATTTCCTTCATTTTTGCCATAAGGTCGAGCTGAAAGAGTGACAATTAGAATGGCGAACATCATTGATATTGTCACGAAAACTGCACTCTCACTTTTTCAGGGCTGGGAATTAACAGCAAAACGATGCCTGACTCACTTTCCTGGGCCGAGTTCAGGGGACAAGATTTTCTCGCTTTCGGTGAGGAATGTTTAACGATCATTTGATTAATCGCAGCCAACCACGTCTCTTGCCAAGTAGTCAATGGCTACCTGTTAAGGTAGAGTGAAATCGGGAGAATTTGCGCTTCCCTTCTTTTCGACCTTGTGTGTGTCTGCTCTCTCAGCGGAAACGTCCATGGGTTCTGCTCTTTTAGGCGTTGAAATGGATTTTAACACCCAAATGTGTGAGCTGCAGCATTATCCCTGCCCTGTACAACATTCGTAAACACAGCAACGGTGCCTCACTTTCTTCTTGTAACTTGAGTTGAAGGTGTTGTTGCGCGCTCGCCATCTGCAGTGACCAGGGGCTCCGCTAGCCGAAAACATCTTCCTCAGCTGAAGGCGTACGCTACCACTTGCCTGAACGCGCACGTCACCGGCATGGTGCTACAAGGAAGAACCAACCCTTCACAGTGCGCTGGACTGGACTCTTACCTGAAGAATATCGTACAGACAACGCCAGTTGAAGACTTTGCCTCCTTAATGGACACCGCGGAGTTCAGAGATGCTGTTATCGAGGGCTGCAATGGTGAATCACAGTTTAGAGCTTGCTAGCTGGTTATGATTCGTCAGTGTTGCAAGCTGCAGAGCTGCTGGTATTTAGGATATTGATGTATTGTCACGGGTGGGCAAAATCCTTCCTCCTCCCTCTTGCGCTGCGTACTCGTTTCAAATTCTCTTCCTAGTTCGAGTGGAGGACGCCGTCACATCATGCATTGAGGGGGATGGAGAGATGCTTGCACTCCAACGCCTCCCCGAATTTAGAGCAGATGGTCGAAGCAGCATCTACGAATACCTCCGCTCCCTGCTATTTCCAGGTACAGGTGTTTGCTGTTAAGTTGGCTGTTTCGAGCAAATGTGCTCAACCCCCAGTAGATCAGCAATTGAATGCAAAAATATCCCAACTGTTTGCAAAGCAAACATGAATATCCAGCTGTTTGCCTATGCTGCAGTTCTCTTGGGAAACAAAGCAGAAGAGTTTGAGACGGCAGATTTGAGAGATAAGCCCTCTGTTCTCTCGGCTGCCCCAAATCTGAGCCAGCTCCTGACTGCCCGTGAGTCAGTATATAATCTTCATGCATGTTGACTACGGTTGTCTACTGCTGTGCTTTGATACTCACGATTGTGCATTCTAGCTTTCCTTGTCGAGTACAACCTATCTACTGTTACTTTGAAGGAGCAGCATTAATGGGTGGAAAAGATGCCCCGTTTTACATGTGTTGCAGTTGTAGGCGTATCGAAGAACAATGGCAATCGCCCAATTGTAGATTATCTGTTCCGCGACGAGGCTAGCGACCAAGCTGTTTCTGTGAATTCTGGAATTGATGCGGCTGTCGCTGCCAAGGGCCATAAGCCTTCCTTAGGCTCAACATTCTACGCCGGCCTTTGGTACAGCTTTAAATGGGCTTTGAAAGTGCTTGAAGATATCTTGAAGGGCTCGCGGACAAGCAGTCAGAGTTCTGCGGCCGGAAGCGGTAGCTCCAAAGGTAATTTTAGCTTACGTATTTCCAGTGGGTGTGCTATCTACATTTGATTGCGGTTCAGCAACGCCAGCGCTTCTGTGTAGCAATTTTTCCATGTTGTTTTGCTGCTGTTTCTCGTTGTCAGAAGCTGAGGCCGCAATTGTACGTGAGGTGCGGGACTATGCGCGACGGCTGCAACAGCAACACCCACAAAAGTATTCAACCATAATAGTAGCGCTGTCGTGGCCACAAAACAAATTGCCGGAGACCCCTTTGGAGGCCCGAAATTTTGTTGACGCAGCAATGAGTGAGTTCTCTGAAAAATTGTGTTTGGTTAGACTAGTCGGATTCGCATATGATGACAAACCTAAAACTTTGGGCTGCTCGAAGCACCGCTATTTGTTAATTCAGGTGTAGTTCTGGTTCCTGGTGCCATCCTGAATTTGTTTGACCAGCACTGGAATGCTGTTTCTACGGGGGTGACTCAGACCAGTAAGCTACCTGAGATCTCTTCCAGTTATTTCCAGTGCAGCTGACATGATCTGCTTCAAGAGTTAAACATGCTTCATAACTTGCTGAGTGTTGTGGTATACATAGTGCCGGAGAGACACGTGGCTGAGGGAGTGGTGCCCTTTACGAAACGGATCAGATACACCAACCCTGATATTTATGGCCAGGTCTGCCAAAGGCTCGGTTGGCCTTCCAGCCGGCTGCCGACCAGCTCGGAGGAAGCAGAAGCCTTTGTTTCGGCCTTGCGTGGTAAGCTAGTACAACTGCAGAAGTGCTCAAATCCAATATAAGCAGTGCACAGTATTTCACTGGATTCTGCAAGCTACATATTCACGTCCTTTGTGGGGAGTTGTTGATGTCCCTCGAGTCAGAAGTAAGAGCAGTCCAAGAGCCTTTAAGGAAGTGGCTGGTTGGCATCGGAGAGCCGTTTTCTGAAACTGTTACTTGGGACCACGTAAAAGCAGTGATTGACAAGGCGCACGGTAAGTAATCAAGCAAATGGAGCTGCATCGCATTTGACCCTTCGGTGACTCTCAAAAGCCTTCAGAAGATGCACATTTTACCCAGCAGGAGCAAATTACCCGTATTCTGCTTGTTTACGCTGCTACATTTGTTTCAGGTCCACACAGCAAGGTGCCCTTCTTCCTCCCATCCTCAAGTAAGATGCATTACACTGATTATCGTGTGCCAGCAAAGTAGCAATGACGACTCTTAGAATGTGCATCGATGTAGAGAGACGGTTGTTCGTATATAAATCTGGTCGTAGTAGAACCGAATCTTCTGTTTCGCACACACTTCCTGATCACGATATACCCAAAAAAGTGTTTTGCTCAGGCAAATGCAACTGCGTGCGGTCAACTGTGCTTGACCGATGCTACATCGATGCGCTAAAAACGACGGAAGATGTCGTCTTCCGAATGACGCTTCTATTCCCTGCTGTCATTTCTGAACACATTAGTCGAAATGCGAAGACTCTGAACACACATGCTGCAGCCCTCTGCGCCTCAGTGGGCATCTTTGTTACTGCATGGCAGCAGCAGCAGGTAGAAGCTGGGTTTGAGCACCCGAACGGCCGCCTTGCTCACGTCATGCTCATTGAAAGGCTCAAAAACGCTGGCGATTACACTATTACTACTATTGATGAAAACGGATATGAGGATACGTCGCTATACAACAGAAGGAAAAAGGAATTAAATAACCTCTTCTCCCGTATGTTTGTCACATGGTGAAAGTTCCTTACTAATCACTTTCCAGCTTGCAGTGGGAGTAATGATTTTGCTAAGAACAGAATGTCCCGATGCCCAGATCCGATTGTGTTGTGTGGTGTGTGGTTCAGGCGGAGCAATGAAGGCGTGTCTAAGCATGAGTACGCAAAGACAGAAGGAGTGCAGATCCCTGTAGTCACTTAAGCTCAAAAGAGATAGATATCCGTAAGCCAACAGCGAAAGTGAAGCGGGAGAAACTTGCACGCCTCTTTTCGCGTTGTGGTCTCCTGTTGTGGCCTCAGTCAATGCTGGAGCAAAAGTGGCTTACAAACCGGCTGGAATACAAGGCTCACAAACTGCAGCTCGCTCTCTCTACGGTGGAATAGTAAACTCTGTGGGAGCCAGCGCTCAGCATGTGGACAACTTCGTGCACCACATTCTTGAGCGAGGCGAAAGCCTGCCTCGTCGCTCTCGCCCTCCCCACCCGTTAGCAGGCCTATTTGCTGCTCTTCGGATTAGCCAGCGATTCAAGGATTGTTTTAGTGCTTCAAGAGAAATGACATTCCGTTCTTGGTACCTTATGCATCTGGAAGGAGACAACATTTTACGGCGTGTAAATAGTCATAGGCTTGGGGAGGAGCTTGCCTCTGCAACTTACGGTTTCGCTACAGGTCCAGGTGCTGACATTTTTGGTACGTCACTGAAAGAGATCTCGTTGGCCCTTTAGAGATTGCCGCACCCAAGCTTCAAGGCCTTAGTGTGCATGAGCGTTATTCTTTTATATTGCAGATGAAGCTTTTAAGACATTGATGGCTACTGTTACCACCCAGTGGGAAGACACCAACGCCTTCAAAATTTTGACGGCTCACACTCCTGGTAGTGGGCCCCTTAGGCTGCCAGAAGTTGCACCTGAAGACTTCGAAACTTCTGGCGACAACCAAGAAAGGCCAGGCCAATAATTTTAGACGGGGTTTCTCAAAGGATCAGGCGCATCCTCGAGTGGTTGAGACGGTGAGGCAGGTGCCCATCATGTGTGAGAAGGCGGAGGGGAGCAGGAAGCCAAGGGGAAGAGTGACTGCTTGATGCGGACAGTATCAGCAGCACCTTGCAGTATCGGTCGACCCTAGCTGCCTTTGCTGCCGGACTCCACTGAGTCTTAAACTCATTTCTAGAACGTATAAGCAATGCCCTGGGGTTTTGTGTTCCCCAGGGATTCGCAGTGCTAAATATATTTTTACTGGGGTGCATAATTCCCGAAATTTTAAGGTTGCCGGAGCCGGAGGTCACTGAGAAACCTAGCAGTGTCTAGTTATTGCAGAGCAGTCATTCATTGCACCTTCTGTCTAGGTATTCGGTTCTTTCCTAACAAGGAGAAGCTTCTGGTTCCTCGACAGGTAGCCAACGTATGGTCTGGCGTTGTAGGAAGCGCCCTCGGTAGTTCAGCTCAGTTTTTAGGGATATGTGGGAGACCGGTGTCCAGATTGCAGTACGTAACTTATCTATGTTTAAGTAAAAATGCCTGCTCTGCATGTCGCATGCTTGTAGCCTAGTATATCTTTCCCCACAGCACTCTGCCGGCAGCCGTTTACGGGCAAACATGTTAGGCGTTTCGTAGTGCAGAGACTTCAGACGGCGCTAAGCAATCCAGGGGATGTCGAACAATACACTTACACTAGCAGATTACATGGTTCCTCTGTCTTGGAACATTAGAGGTGTAGGACCACGCTGAGTGCGGTCAGGTTCGCACGGTAGATGCGCCAGCGATCCAAGTCACTCCTTCCAGTCCACGGCGGCATGCAATTTGACTCCGGAGATACAAATTAGGTGGCTTTGGGTGCCCCAGTGTTCGTGCTTAGGCGTACTCTTCACTCCTTACTCTTTCCCGTTAGCTGCTGGTGGTCAATCGTGTTGACAGATCTAGAATTCCTAACTGCGGCTGGTGTCAAGCATGTATGTGTGTTCGAAGGATAGAAGCACTTTTCCATTGATGGATCCATAACTTGTTGCATATGGTTCATTGCACGGTCGTGGCTTTCACCGCGTGCGGGCTGTTTCCTTGCTTGCAAAAAAGCGTCCTCGCTGCCAAAGCATGACCCGGGCAAACGGAAAAAGCCATGCTGGCAGGGATCTGTATTTATCTCAATGCGCCTAGGTATGAAAAATGCGTGGCAAAAAAATTCGTTACGTGTGGGGGGTATTAGGCCCAAGCTGCAAAAACCTGCCGGTCAGCTTGTATTGTGCAGCGCATCTCGCAGACGTCCTCACCGTCAGTTTGAGATAATGTCCCCCCACCAAAACGATGCCATAAGGAAAATCCATTATAAATCAGATTTTCAAAGGAATTCGGGGATCTGAGAAGCGCGGTTGCAACTCTACACAGGCAAACGGAGAACGTTTGTTTGTCAACACGGCAAGTCAGCCCCACTGTCGGTAACTATCCAAGGCTTCGTTTCTCACTTGATGAGTGCGGGAACGAGCTACAAATTAAAGTACAGAAATCAGGGCATCCGTTTCCAGTTGTTCTTCTCAGCAGGCATTGTAAGAACACCGTTGCCACAGTGATCCAGGTGAGACTTCCCGGGCAACTGTAGCGTCCCAGGTCACCTATCCACTGTTGTAACTCAACAGGTCGAACTAATAAACGGGCTGTATTTACATTGTCAGGTGAGCCAGAAGCCAGGCTGGAACCACAATTTCCCACTAGTTTCATCGGGGCGAGCTGCATGGCAAGCTGTGGCGTACTGTGCGACCACCTGTCCAGGGCAACGAACCGTTGCTGCTCCCAGGAAATTCCCCAGGGCATTCCTGTTAATAGGTTCCCTTTGGCCTGAAAAATTCGAATATCACGGCTACGGATCCGTGCGGTATCTTCGCCAACACCGTGTGAAGTCCCGTGTGGGCTTGGGCAACTGGGACGTTTGTTCCGATGAGTGTAGCCCAAAACCGTTGCTTATCCTATCTTGAGGCCGAATTCAGAAACCTGCGACAAACCCCATCGTTTGTTGATCAGTGGCACAGCACGGATATCAGCAAGCGAGTATCAGGACCCACTCTCCTCTACCGGGGTGTGCCACACATCTCACATGACTGTCTAGCTATCTTCCTTGGATTTGGTGCCTCCAGGAAGGCCCAGCATTACCGGAATGCAGCCAAACCTGCACCATCCATGCGAAAAATTTTGAAGAAGGCGTCTCTGATGTAGCGACGCCCAAACGTCAGACGGAAGTGGAGAGGCACCGGCTGAGTGCATACAACCCCAAGACGGAGGGTTAGTCCGTTAGCACCGACGGGAATATCCATAAGCTCTTAAGTGCGCGGAAGATGAACGACTCTCCAGGTTACTCCCATCGTGATGCTCATCGACTGAGCACTGATGGCGCTAGCAGAGGGCAAGAACCTCCCAAGTACATGGAACGTGGCATTTACTCAGAGGTCCTTAGACCGCAACGGTCGGACGGCTTACGAGTGAGAAGCTGGAGCCTCTACTCATGCATTGTGTGAACACGTACAAATCCTTATTCAATGGCACTTGCGCAGCTGCATTTCCCTCCGATTAGTTGGCTCAGCCGTATTTCGGTTCATCCTACTTCTGTACTTTTGGAGAAGCGACCCACTCAAAGCGACCCACTAAAAGCTGCATACCGCAACCCTCTAAAATGTTTGGAACGTCTTTTACGGATGGGATCAAGCTAATTTTGACGCATGATATGTCTCTTACATCTTGCAGCAAGCGTCCAGGGGTCCACCAGAAGGAGCGCGGGAGCAAGAGGCCTCTTTCGTCCCTCCAATCCCTGCCAGAACATTTCAGTCTACCGAAACAGCATTTAGAGGTTTGCGTAATACTGGCGATAAGGGCCGTTGATTTCAGCACAGCACATGGATTAGCTCTGAGATATCAGTTACAGAGTGCATAGAGGCCTTCGGCTCACCTACTGCTAGAGGAGCAGAATGTGTATTTAAAAGGCTGCTGTCTCTTCCACCCCAACGAATTGAAAACGCAAAATGACGACGATAGGACGTTGTTGCGTGCAAAAGCCTAGCTCAGAAAGCCCGAGTGTTTGCATTTAGGCCTTGTGGAGCCCCCCCCTTTTGATGTTGCTCCTGTGGAGCCCAAAGTAATAGCGGCGAAGTTCCACGCTCCTACGAGCGCACCTCGGAGGGTCACGGTGGAAAGGCGGCGCCGGGCATATGAGGCATACGATATAGAACAGTTACTGATCGAGCGTGGAATCAACTACAGGGATCAGACTTTTGAATCGAAGAGCTGGTTAGTGTGCGGCATACCGGTTAATTGGCTTGGGTGGTGCTGTAGCATACCAATGGATTTAGGCGCATCAAACTGTGTGTCAGGGCTAAGATGCACCCTTTGTTAGGTATACTATGCTTGCTATGCTTCCTATCGACGTTTCTTAGGCTGCCGTTAGAGCCATTTGATGATACAACTTTTGACGATCGTTCGCCACAAGAGTGGATGGCTCTCTGCAAAGGTCCTGACGGCTCATTCCTACCCCTGTCTGGAAAGGTGAGAAATTTAATGTACCCGAAAGTTGTCCTTGTAAATCCATTTCCTCAAGAACACGGAGTCTTTCGAGTCCGTTAAGACGTCCAACGGCCCTCAGTACAATTTATTCCTTCGCATGATAACCGCTTGGGAAAAGCTTGAAAGCGGGTTTTGCTGTGACCATGGTACCAGGGTCTTCGTCGAGGCAACGGAGGAGACTGCAAATGGGAAGCTTGCCGTGTTTATGCTTATGATGAGGTCTCTTGCAAGTTTCACGTCCAATGGTGCGACCGAAAAGAGAAGGCCGAGTTGCTGAGAACTGAACTTTTATTCAAGGTAATCGACTATACCCCGTTTTCACAAAACTCGAACGCATGACAGATGTTGCGCACATCTTGTCTTATAGGCAGCGAACCCCGGTTAATATTGTACATGCCTCAGAGTGAAGACCCAGTCAAGTTTGCTGACAGGCTGCAAGCCGCACATAAATCAAGGTATAGGCCCATTTGCATCCATTTTAATCCCTTCCAATAGACACACTGCGTGAATGTGGTTGACGTGGCAGTGGATTTAGTTGAAGGATCCGCATTATTCTCATGTTTAGTAGCGGCACCTGGGAACAAAGGCACACCTACTTAATGCGGGTGTTTGTCGTACAGGGCTGCTGCGGAGAGCCTTATCCAGTATAACTACTACATAGACAATATGCCCACCAGCGACATCCCTGGATTGGGTACGTCTTCATGAAGACCTTTGCTTGCTGCAAGCCGCTCACGCTCGCTAATCTTGTGGCATCCACGTCACTTGACCAGCTCAGAGGCATCTTTTGCAAGATTCCCAAGGGCTTCTCAATTTCTCCCTGCAGATGAGGTGCAGCAGAAGAGAGTGATGGATAAAGCTTTGAGCTGTCCTAGGACACGCCAGTGTAAATCGGCTACCGTAGATTCTTTGCTAAAAGAAGTTAATACCTACTTTGCTAGGACGATGAACAAAATTGCTTTTGACATATTTCTTGACCGTAACAAAGACAAGCGATTACGTACGGACTTGCAGTTACCTCCAGCACCGAAACCACGGCCACCATCATGGTGAGGAATACTTGTATGCGGCAGGCATCTAGTCAGATACGGGTAGTAAACTAAAAAGTATAGAGTCAAGATCCCTTCACCGCTTCCCGTTGTTATTTTTGCGGGAATGAAAATTCCCCAATTCAAGCCCCTTGCGTTGTATCTAAGAGTTTATCGGAAGGTAGTTTAAGCTGGATAGAGAAGTGTCTTGCTACTAATTCCTCTTGCAGGCATGCCTTGGTCACTGTTCCAGCATACGACTTTTCCAAAGCATTCGCTTCCTTTTGTTCGACTTCCCTTTACGTAAAAAATGAGGTCATACGGGCGATGGTCGGCATCCGCGAAGAATGCGTGGACGTTTTGGAAAAGCGTATTTTTAATACATCGTTTCCACGAGTACGTATCGGTCGCGTAGTGCATATCTGATTTGTTTTAGTATGCAGTTAAACTGAGCCCGAGTTCTATAGCATTCATTGCTTTCATTTTATTTGCAGGCAGTAAAACTTGATGAATTTCGCCAGATGCAACGAGCTTCGATAAGTCAGGTTGGTGGTGCCGTCTCTTCCGATTGCCTCTAGATTCGCCTGTTTTGAAACTAACGGAAAGCGCTTCATACTCATAAGTGCTGCAAAGTTCATTTGTGCCTTGGAACTACTCTGCTTGCTGACCTAGGTCACATACTTTTTGCAAGAGGCATGGGCCTCTAAACTTCACGAAATAATCGACTCCAACCTGCGTCACGTGGGAAAGGGATGGTTCAATATATACGAGTTCAACAAAGAAACATACGAGTACGGCAAAGTCAAGCGAATGCTCATCTTGACCCGGCTTCTGATGAGGGATGCTCTACGGTAAGATATTTGATCCCAGGAAGCGAGGTTGATTGCATGCACTTACCTCGTCTCCTGTCATCTTTAGTGTTCGGATTTCGTTCTGGTATGTAAAGCCCTTGTTCACCGCCCATGTGAAGTTCTCAGAATTATGACAACACGTTCGATAGAGGATTTGGTGGAGCTTTTTCGATCCTCAACGCCTGAAACAGTGAATATCAGGTCTCTCTCCGACGTCCAAAACATATACCAAGAGTCGCGAGTCAAGTCCCTAGAGCGCAAGCTCCTGTGGAAAGGCCTGTTCTTTGTCGAAATCACTCGGTCGCCTGATGGGACACAGTTTGTGTTAACACCTCGCCCAGAAGCTTTTGTAGAGGCTGCCGACGAGTTTTTCGACAGAGGGCAAGTCCTACAGGGCTGTAGAACGTGGCTGGGCATGGGGCTTCTCCATTTCGACCACCTGATTTGAACAGTTTTGTATCGTGGTTCTGTAGGATTCTGAGGATGGGAGACATACCTCAACCAGAAACAATTGTCCTTCCTCACTTATTCAAGAGCCAACAAAAGCACATTGCAGCCCCTCTTGGATTAGAAGAAGCCTCAGTACAGGTGGAGTACCAGCAACACAATTTTGCTGGAACTTGGCATCTACCCTACCCACAGTGGATCTATAGTTCTGGCTTCACTTGGAAGTTTAGCTGTTCTGCAGGCCCAGGCCGAAGTGGTGATACGACCGATTGCTCAGCTCGCATCGGCCCGCCGAACTGATGTAGGAAACTACTTGTACCCTTTTTGCAGGCAAGCAAACAAAATATTTTGAGGCTAATCGAGTTGCATATCCCGTTTCTGCAAAAGTTCATCGAGCACTTCCAACCGTTTGCTGACATTCTTAACCTCTGCTCGGCTGACGTTGTTGCCGAAACGGAGCAGAGAGCTGCAGTTGGCAGTGTTGCAGAAACCTTCCGGCAGGCGGTCTTAGGCTACCAAGAGGTATGCATAGCGCCGCCCAGCTCCAGCAGGCTTGGTTGTTGTACTTCAGCCACTCTTATATATGAGCCTGCAATGGAAACGTGCTCCTGGCAGCAGCCTGTGTCAATTTTCATTTCGCCTTGTAAAATGCGGTCGTCCGTTTTCTTCGCAGAGAATAAAGCAAATTGAAGAAGATATCCCTACTTCAGTAATTGTTGGAGTATTTTGTGTTGGCTGTGAAGACATAAAGAGCAGCTTGAAATCTACAGTTAGAAGCGTTTCACAGCTTCTCCTGGATGTACTCGCAAAATGGTGGGGCATAGTGGAAAACAGTGGAAGAGGGGGCTCGTAATGGAAATGGACCTTCATGTGCCATTGGCCAATCAAATATCTCCAAGATACTTACAAAATTCCTTGCATGCTTTGAGGGGGCAATCACTAGCGCTGCATTTACAATCTATGCCTTGGCTTGTCTAAGTTACTTCGGTGATGGGCTTGTGGGATTGTCACTTGCCGCAGCTTCCGAGACCAGTGCAAGCAGACTCTGGAAGAGTTTAAGCGGATCTCAACAACTCTAAAGCAGCAGCCTACAGGAATCGAAGAACTCACGGAATTGAGGGAGTTTATGGATGATACCCCAACAAAGCTCGAGGCTCTCGCCGTCGACATTAAAGCAGTGCTGCATATTTTTGATGTGCTAGAATCCTTTAAATACAGGGTGAGCACCGATGTAGCAATAATAACATTTGAAGCAGAAGGAGGGCCAACACTGTTTCAGGCAGCACGATCATGTGTGCACCGTGTGTAGACCACTTACAGGCAAACGTACTATGTTTCATTTGTTTCTAGTACAGCTCCTTGTGGAGGATCACAACCTGCGTTGGAGGCTTTACGGCTCGCCAGCTGAGATCCTTGAGCTGTCGAATGAAGTTGCTTCATCCCTGGTCAAAGAAAGAGCTCGCTTCCTTGATGATATGCTAGTGCAGCAGGTAAAATACAACTCCTCAGATTGCTTATGAATGTTCCATGAGGCCAGATGCAAGAACACTGAGCAGATGCTGCAGTTGTTAGTTATTTTTTACTACTGACTATTTGGTGTATGTGCGTTTTCCCTGCTTCGGCGACTCTGCGTTCTGGTAGTGCGAGTTCGCAGCTACGATTGCCGACCTTGCTGATGTTGTTGCCGGATTTGCCAACTTCACGGATATGTCAAAACTAGCTGAGGTATATGACAGCGTCCTTGCCGTTGGGGAGAGGATCGAAATGAGCATTCAACAGGCCAAAGTCTTCAACCACAGAGAGCGCCTTTTCGGTAGAGATGTGACGGACTACACCTCGTTAACGAAGATTCAAAAGGTTGGCTAGATGCGCATTAGGTCCAAATGCCCTCCCTGGAAGGCAGGATGCGGTCTTAACTACTTCGACAGGGAGTTTTGGCAAATGTGCAGGAATTCGAGCCGTTTTCAACCCTATGGCAGACAGCCTATCAGTGGAGCGTCACGCGGAACTCAATTTACACGGCTTCTTTCGAAAGCCTAAGCGGTGCAGATATTGAGAAACAGGTTAGGAGACACTTATTATTCCACAAACGCAATTCAGTAACGTGCGACGATAGTAAACGTCTGGACCGCTATACGATACTAGCTTGCGCAGCCTTTCCAGAGTTAACAACGACACGGGGATGTGCCTTACCAATATTCCTTTCATTTGCTGCAGGTGTACGGAGGGATAAAAGCACTTAAACGGGTGGAGAAAATACTGCAAGAACGCGGCCTTCCAGAGGTATTCGCCAAAGCCTCGCAGGTCACGAACGAGCTTACCGAGTTCAAGCCACTTGTCCCTATCATTGTTTCTTTAAGAAATGACGGAATGCGCGAGCGACATTGGAATAAAGTGAGCATTCGCCATGCTGGTGACACCCTGCAACGCTTAGGTTGAGCTAGTTATAAACTAGCCCAAGTCCCACGCAAATTGTAGCTTTCAGTTGAGGAATTTGAGCAATTATTATTTTTCTCATCGCCTCAGCTTTTCGAGCGCATCGGCGAACCCCAGCTAGACGACAGTTCCAGTCTTACCCTAGGTGCCCTGTTGAACAAAGGCATTGCAGAATGCACGGACTTCGTAGTGGAACTGGGGGAGCTGGCGACTAAGGAAAGCTATCTCGAGAAGGTCAGCAGTTCCAAGCACTTCCAGCCACATCTGTGGACCATGGATACCTGCCGGATTAGTGCACTTTGACAATGCAATTGGTGGCACCCTAACGATGTGCAACTCATGTCAGTATACATCTGTTATGATTAGGCCCTTCAAACGATGAAAGCCGACTGGGAGCATGTCAAGTTCGATTTCCCTGAGACATACAAGGACACGGATACCTACATCCTGAAAGGCACAGAAGAAATTGTTGCATTGCTTGACGAACATATTATGACCACACAAGGACTGCAATTCTCAATTTACAAAAAGCCACTGGAGAAGGAGATTGATGAATGGGCAACTCTCATTATGACGGTAAGTGCAAAACTGTCCCTCTCACCCCTCTCTGTTCGTCTGAAAACACCGTGGGAGTTACCAACAAAACCTCTGTGGGATTGCTTTTATCTCGTATCACAGGCGTCCGAAACCCTTGACGAGTGGCTCAAGTGTCAGAGAGCCTGGTTATACTTGCAACCCATCTTCCACTCACCAGACATACCCAAGCAACTTCCAGCGGAAACAAAGCGGTATAACTGCACAAGCCGCTAATGGGGGAAGCTCACTGTGCGAAGTTTGTGTTGAATAGCCCAGGGAGGATATGACGAGTTAACCTGGTCACCTGCAGTTTTGAAGCGCCACTGGTTTTTTGGTTCAGCTTTTTCACAGTGGATACTGCCTGGAGGGTGCTGATGCGACACACCTACGAGGAGCCTCTGGTCTTGACAGCCTGCTCAACGCCGGGTCTTCTGGACAAGCTCCGCGAGAACAATAGACTACTAGAACGCGTGCAAAAAGAATTGCAATCATATCTAGAACTAAAGCGTAGCCAATTCGCTCGATTTTATTTCCTTTCAAACGACGAACTTCTTGAGATTTTGTCGGAGACGACGGACCCGCTGAAAGTTCAGCCATTCCTATGCAAGGTTTTTGAGAACATGAATGAGTTGGAGTTTTCTTCAGACCTTGTGGCCACTGCAATGTTCTCTGCAGAAGGTATGCGACGTGCAAACGCCTTTGCGCTGCATCAGTAATTTTTCCCTGGTAAGTGCAAAAAATTTTAATTACACGTTCCATGATTTCTGCGCGTTCAGGTGAAAGAATGGAATTTGTCAAAGGCCTCGTAACTGCAGGCAGAGGCGTTGAGACGTGGATGCAAGACTTAGAGAAGATAATGAAGTTGTCTGTGAGAGAATGCCTCCACAAAGCCATACTTGACTATCCTATTTCGGAACGGACAGCATGGTGTACGAAGCATGCTGGACAGTGTGTCCTGAATGGAAGCCAGGCACACTGGACAGCTTTAGTAGAAGATGCGATCCAAACTGGTCAACTTAAGAGCCTCATGGAGAAGCAGACACAGCAACTCTTGGATTTGGTAATTGGAAGCACAACAGTCCTGCCTTGACAGCAACTGTAGAGAATGTTTAGCACACTTTTTGATGAGCTGATGCAAAACAAGCCGTGGGGCACAGAAAAATGCAGCAGCAGTCGAGTATCTTATACGTGGTTTACATTGTCATCTCAAAAGTGAAGAAAAGTCACATAGCTCTCCTGAATACATATGCAGTAGCTTTTGCCTAGGTCCACTGTTTGTAGGTTGCGCTCGTCCGTAAAGGGCTTAGCTCTATGCAGAGCATTACCATCGGGGCGCTCATTGTTATAGATGTCCACGCCAAAGACATTGTCCAGCGCCTCTGGAAGGAAGAAGTATCCAGTGTGGAGGCATTTGAATGGATTGCCCAGCTGAGGTATTACTGGAGAGATGACAATTGTTGGATTCAGTGTGTTCAAACGGACTTCCCTTATGGATATGAATACCTGGGCAACACATTCAGGCTTGTGATAACTCCACTTACAGACATGGCCTACATGACGTTGCTCAGTGCTCAGCAGCTAAACCTGGGTAAGTAGCCTGAGTGCACTTTCGTTTTTGTCTTGGTTTATTAAATATTCGTCTAGTAGCTTTCGGCCCCCAGAATATCAAAGCCTAGCATTGCTGGGCAGTTGCACGGGTGAGTGTGTTGTCTCAGGAGGATCACTGGCAGGCCCTGCAGGAACTGGGAAAACTGAAACAACAAAGGACTTGGCCAAGGCCTTGGCGACGCAGTGTGTCGTTTTCAACTGCTCGGAAATGATGGACTTCATAATGATCGCAAAATTTTTCAAAGGATTGGCTTCTTCCGGCGCCTGGTGCTGCTTCGATGAATTTAATCGAATCAACATTGAAGTAAATGCTCTAGCGAGCTTCCTGCATGCACAGTTCACTTCCGTAGCTAACCTTAACTGCAAAGGAAGAGCAGCATGCCAGGAAAAGAAGACAAGAGATGACAGCATTTTCGAATTCCCGCAGGCGATCATCTACGTTGCGTCCTCCTCTGCAGGTCTTGTCCGTTATAGCACAGCAGCTTGTAGTGCTTTTCGGGGCAAAAGCTCAGCTGCAGGGTTACGGGACGACACTGGAGATTGATTTTGAAGATTCGCGCATACTTGTGGAGCCGACGTTTAATGTGTTTATTACCATGAACCCTGGATACGCCGGCAGGACGGAACTTCCTGACAATCTAAAATGTCTTTTCAGGCCTATGGCCATGATGGTGGGCCAATGAAGCGTTATGCCCAATTGCTATTCAGGGAACGTTCCCCTTCGTTGTTGAAAAGATTGCCGTTTAGACCATCCCGGCGTTGCTCACAACTGCTGATTGACTTGATATCTGTTGATACAGTCGCTCCATCGACGGGTGCATTTACGCTCAGGTTCCAGATTACTCGATGATCGCCGAAATTATGTTGTATAGCTTTGGATTCGACCAAGCCAGAGAACTAGCAACAAAGATGGTGGCAACATTCAAGCTGTCGTCAGAACAACTGTCTTCTCAAGATCACTATGATTATGGCATGAGGGCAGTTCGGTCGGTTATCAATGCTGCCGGAGTCCTGAAGAGGAAATACAGTACCATGGATGAGCAAATGATTCTCCTGCAGGCATTAAGAGATGTGAACGTTCCAAAGTTTCTGTCTCATGACCTCCCGCTGTTTGAAAATATTATTGCTGATCTATTTCCCGGTGTCGAAGTACCCCGTGCCGATAACCAAGTTCTTCAAGAAGCGCTCTTGCGCCAATCGGAGGTGCTAAAGCTACAGCCGGTGGAACCCTTTATGAGAAAGGTGATGCAGCTGTACGACACCGTTCAGGTCCGCCACGGCCTCATGCTCGTAGGCCCAACAGGAGGAGGCAAAACAAGCAGTTACCGTTTGTTATCCGCCGCCATGAGCGACTTGTATAAGAACCCAGGATTTGCAAAGGTGAGGCGAGAAAGCTTGGCCTTCCATTGGGGCGTTTTTTCAAATCCACAACCCAGGATTCAATTTATACGAGAAATTGGCTTATGCAGGGAACTGTTGTGCGTAGGTGCACGTGAACGTCCTGAATCCGAAATCAGTGACCATTGGGCAGCTCTACGGATGTTTCAACGAAACAACGCATGAATGGACAGATGGCCTAGCTGCGGCACTCATTCGTCATGCCATCCGTGACACCTCCTCCGACCAGCATTGGATTATGTTTGACGGTCCTGTTGATGCTTTGTGGATTGAAAGCATGAACTCTGTTTTGGACGACAACAAGAAACTGTGCCTGAATTCAGGAGAAATCATTTCCCTCACGAACAGAACGGTTATGATGTTTGAGGTAAGCTATGCAGTGTGGAGTGAAGGCGTAAGAATGACCAGTTTTATTTCGTAATATCACCACTTCTCAGTAGAGCGTCCAGTGTCTAACAGATGCAGCTGTGCCAGTACTTGACTTCCACGCATATTGTACCAGTAATGGACGTCATTGGTGCTGCTGTAGGTCGAAGACTTATCCGTAGCCTCTCCTGCGACAGTCAGTCGTTGTGGAATGGTATATATGGAGCCAGAAGTCCTTGGGCTTTCGCCTCTAGTTGCCTCGTGGTTGAAGTCGCTCCCTCCGACGTTTAAAGAGACGCACAAGGCACTCATTGAGAACCTTTCGAGCAGCATTTTCCCAGGGGGAGTTGCAGTTCTTAGGAAACAGTGCAAGGAGGTTGTTTCAACGGTAAACACCAACCTTTGCACATCGTGCCTGCGCATGCTCGGCTCCATCTGTTCTCGCTACCGTCCAATAGACAAGCCAGCCGATTCTGAAAAAGGCGATGCCCTGTATGGACGCCTCCCTGCGGCATTCATTTTTAGCTTCGTCTGGTCATTCGGCATTACTGCAGATGGTGAGCATTACCACTGCTTCTTACAGCGCTACAGGACTAAGCCATGCGCATCACCGATTCATCACAAAACCAGCACGAAGGCTGCTTTCGTTGGCTTTTCGTCAGGTTCCGGCAGAAAGAAAATAGACGATTGGCTACAAGGTCGCGTGCAAGAACTCGGACTTGATATTGGAAACTTGGGTGCTGGATGCAGCCTCTACGATTTCTGCTATGACATTAATAGCCACCAATGGACCCCTTGGGGGGAGACAGTTCCCTCATTTGTCGTCCCAAAAGGCGCGTCCTACGAGAACATAGTCGTTCCAACCTTAGATTCTATCCGCTTGGCCCACGCCATTTCTACTCTGTTGCTTAACGGCCACAGCGTAATTTGCCCAGGCCCAACTGGGACTGGTAAAACAGTCAATTTGACTGATCTTCTGTTGTTAACTTTGCCGGAAACCTACGAAACGCATATTATGACGTTTTCGGCCCATACAAGGGTCAATCAGGTGCAGGTAAGTGTGATTAGAGCTCCACTCGCTCCCGGCTGCCAGGCCACGAAGCTTCTCAGAGATACACGGCCAACAGCAGAGCACTGCTCCGCTCTTGGACCGTCACGCCATACACAGTTCAGAAACGACGCAGTTCCTGCTTACCGGGCCTTTATGTGACAGGACCTGCTGGAAGCAAAGTTGGAAAAGAGACGCAGGGGCGTTTTCGGCCCACCAGCTGGCAAAACATGTATATTTTTCATTGATGATCTAAACATGCCGCGGAAGGAAGAGTTTGGAGCTCAGCCGCCTTTAGAACTCTTGCGGCAATGGTAAGCATTGTAAGCTTTTCGCAAAGGCCGCGAGAAGAACGCCTACGGTTGTTCCTTCGTTGCACACGATCCGTAGAACTGCCGCCCTACGCGTTGTTCAGGTTTGACCACAAAGGGTGGTATGATCGCAAAGGTTTGACATTTCAAGAAGTTGTGGACGTGGGTATGGTTGCGGCCATGGGACCCCCAGGAGGCGGGCGCAACGAAATATCTGCTCGTTTGTTGAGGCACTATTGTGTTCTAGCATATGACGAGCTTCAGCGGGCTTCAATTGCAACAATCTTCCAGACACTCAACAGGCATTGCTTCCAGCAGTTTCCGCCCGATATTCAAGTGAGCCTTGCGCATTACTTGCGTAGATGGAGTACAACGCCTGTGTTGTTTGTTGCATCCTACTTGTTTGTGATTTGGGGAAACTGTAGGCCTTCACATGACTGGTAGCTCACACGGCCATCAGGGCTTTTGTAGGCGGCATTGTAGTTTCACTCTAGGGTCTGGAAGTGACATTCATGCGGATGGATCTTTATACATTAATGTACTTTTTGTCTAAGTGTTTCCATTTGCCTCCACTCCAGGCTCTGACGGATCCGTTGGTGTTCGCGACAATTGACCTCTATGCAGAAGTCACGAAGACATTGCTTCCAACTCCAACGAAGTCCCATTACACATTTAACATGCGCGAAATTTGGAAGGTGTTCCAAGGACTTGCATTTCTTTCTTCAAAAGTGGTGAAGGAACCGGCAGCGGTGAGCAGCAGATAGCCCGGTCTGCCAGGGGCCATGTAAACTCACCTTTAAATGAAAGCTTCGGTTCCAGAAGCACTTTTATCTGCCGCATAGTTTCACGATCTACTTCCTAGTTGATTGCACGAATCAGCACCGCTTTGGTGGCAGGCCAAAACGCCTGTACTAGCCCGTAAACGCAGCTCTCCAAGGTCTTGAGAACATAGCACACTTCGTACTTCGCCGGCAGACAAAACATTTGCGAATTTGCATAGTTTCACGTTAGGGGTGGACCGCATTCAGTCACGACAGTTTCTGCGAAGCTTACTGTGGGAGCAAATGCCTTTCTGTTAAATGTTCTGTTGCGTACGGTCTGGGCTTTTCAGGTAATCAGATGCTGGGTACATGAGACATGCCGCGTTTTCTGCGACCGGCTCGTCGACGATGACGACAGGAATTGGTTCTACGATCTCCTTCAACGGCAAGCCAAACAAACGTTTGGCATCGAATTCAGCGACGTTAAGGAGCTGTCGTCAATGATTTTTGCTGATTTTGTTCAGCAGGGGTCAAATAGGTACTACTCGGTAAGAGCAGGATGTTTTGCACGCTAATGAAGCTATCGACGTAGCATAATCGTACCCTTAGCTCAAGCCAACTCACTCACTGCTTGGAACGCTTTGAGTGACAACTCACATGCTGAGTTCTTAATATCCTACTGCTGTATGAAGCCCGCCTGTGTGTGCACTGACCGTCATGACATAGGAGGTGTCTTCTGTGGAAAAGCTCAAGCAAGTCGTCGAAGATTATATGCAAGATTACAACAATACGTTTGCAGTCCCCATGCAGCTCGTAATGTTCAGTGACGCATGTGCCCATGTGGCGCGAATCTGCCGCGTACTCCGGCAGCCGTCAGGCCACGCACTTCTACTTGGAGTTAGAGGCTCAGGACGGCAGTCCCTCAGCCGTCTCGCTGCCTTCATCATGGAGATGGAGTGTTTCCAGATAGACGCTACCAAAGGTCCTTCAAGAGGACAGCTGCTCTCCATCTCTAGAATTTCCATGCGTTGTTTTGGCGAACCGTCAACTGATCCGCATCTCATTCATGTTCGATGTATGCACCTACTGCTTCTGTTCGTAGGCTATGGGATGGCGGAATGGAGAGAGGACCTGAAGAAGTGCTTTATGAAATCCGGATTGGAGGACAAGCCACAAACTTTCCTCTTCTGTGATTCGCAAATTCTTGGAGAATCCATGTTAGAAGACATTAACAGCGCGTTGAATTATGGAGACGCTCCAAATATCTACAAAAAAGAGGACATGGAAGAAATCATGAAAGTTTGTAGGTGAGCAATTTCTTTGTGTAGTTTCCTCAAAGGTATCGTGTTGCCTGGGTGTGTTATGAAGCTGTGGTGCATCATCCGCGTTTGTCTTCAGGGTATACTGTAAGCAGCTAGGTGTCTCCCCAACAAAGGGAAACGTCTTCAATGCGTACGTTAAAAAAGTCAAGGCGAATCTCCATATTATTCTGGCTATGAGCCCGTTGGGCATACAGTTTCGCACTTGGCTCAGGATGTTCCCTTCGCTGACCAACTGTTGCACCATCAACTGGTTTTCCGAGGTACGGGAGCTCTGTGATGAGCTAGCTATGATGAACTTGCTAAGGGCATTACAGACAATTTTTATCCTTCCCGCAGAGGCCGAGCAAACCAGGTGGATGATTCGGTATTTTGCTTTTGCGAGAGTGCTGTTTCGGTTTCTCTGTAGTGGCCAGCAGAAGCTTTGATATCTGTCGCTCGCATGCAAATGGAAAAGTGCGAGGTGCAGCTTACAGCTCAGGACGAGGTCCTAGATGTTCTACAAGCTATGCATCGAGGTGTCCAAAATACTGCCACACGCTACAGGGAGGTGCTTGGCCGGGCCATGCATGCAACACCGACGACTTTCTTAGAATTGCTTTCAGCATTTTTTCACCTTGTTAGCACTAAACAAGTTGAATTAGTGACCGTTCAAGAACGATTTGAGAAGGGACTAAGAAAGCTGGAAGAAACAGCCAAGCAGGTGGCGGAAATGCAGGCTCAACTTCAGGAACTCCAGCCCGTCCTCCAAGCTACCTCAGAGGAGGTGGGCTCGCCAGACAGCAGACAGTACACTGGCTAGGTAGCCGATTCGTGATCTATGGCTATAAAATGTTGCTGCGCTGACCACTGTGAACTGTGGAGGTACCCTTGGCTACACGATGCGCTGCACAAGGTAAGTAAAACAGAAAACATATTCTCTACAAGGACTGTAACGCAAGGCAGCATTTCCTTTCATACTCGTCAGGGACGCAATGATGAGTGGGTGCTATCGTAGGTGGAGAAAACAATGACTCAAATTCAACAAGACCATGCAGTTGCAGATGAGACAAAAAAAATAGTAGCCCGAGATGAAGCGGCCGCTTCGAAAAAGGCAACAGAAACTCAAGCTCTCAAGGACGATGCGCAACGGGATTTAGATGAAGCACTTCCAGCTTTAGAGGAGGCTGTGGAATGCGTTAAAAAGTTGAAGTCAGACCATATACGAGAGGTTAAAGCCTTATCAAAGCCTCCTTCCGGTGTGATTCTTACAATGGAAGCAGTGTGCATCATGTTTGGGGTACGCCAAGGAGCTCAAGCTGTCGCTTTCCATAGACGCTCATATTCTATAGAGGTGCTGCTCGTACAGTTTCCCTTTTACTGTTGTTTTCTGTAACTTCAGGTGCCTCCTGTAAAGAAACCTGATCCATCGAGACCAGGTTTGAAGATTGAGGATTACTGGGAATCTGCTCAACACAAACTCCTGAAGGACCCAAAAAAACTCTTGGAAGACCTACTTAAGTATGACAAGGTGGGTATTATTAACTCGTTAATCTTGCTGAAGCTCTTTATAGCTGCACGAATATCAAGTGGCCAGAACCATTCCAACCTTCGTGTCTACCGTTCAAACTAGTGTTGGCCACGCGAAAGTAAGCTCTGTGCTTTTCATTAACATGCCATCGTCCCGTCCCAGAGTTTGAGCGTAAAAGGGAGCCTATCCAGTCACATCTATCATATGTCGAGCAGGATAATATTCCGGAAACTATAATAGCAACTATCGGTCCATATATTGAAAGAACCGACTTTGACCCGACAGCCATTCGGAAGGCATCCGTTGCCTGCGAGGCCATTTGCATGTGGGTCCGAGCTATGTATAAATACTACCATGTTGCGAAGACTGTGGAGCCAAAGCGGGCAAAACTACAACAAGCAGAAGCCGAGTTGCTGTTAACCACACAGAACCTCAACAAGACAAAGGCCAGACTCAGAGAGGTGGAGGAAAAAATAGAACGCCTTGCTGCCGATTTTGCTCTTGCTGTCGAAAAAAAGGTGATGGACCCCACTTTCACGATGGCTCATCAGCAATCGCGCCTTCAAAGCATTTTGGGGTCGTGTCACTTATGGGTTCCACGTAGAGTAAAATAGACAGGCCTCCCGCGTGCACCAAGCAACAGCTACGTTGGGAAGCGGCAACAGCATTTGTCGAACGACATGACAGAAAGTGCAGCTACAATGCGGACAACAGCTGGAGCAAGTGCATGAATTTTTATAGGGTGACACAACCTAAGTAACTGACAATTGTGGAAAGCTTCGTGGATATGCCCCTCAAAATAGTTAGGAACACTGCACCAAAAGACCTCCACTAGACACTTCAACTGGGTGGCCTTACAGGAGCAACTCACCAAGGAGATTCAAAGCTGCCAGAAAAAAATACAGAGGGCAGAGCCCCTTCTGCTAGGACTAGCCGACGAAAGGCACCGCTGGGGAGAGCAGGCCTGCCTCTCTAAGGAGCTCCACAGCTATGTATCCGGTTAGTAGAGCCACGCTTTCACACTGGAAAGTCAAGCAGGACCCTGTGAAAAGGAAAGCATCTCTGGACACTCGGTCTGTTCTTGCTTTATCTGCGTAGGCCATGCCCTCATTAGTGCAGGAATGTTAACGTATGCTGGACCGTTTACAGCAGCATATCGTGGAGAACTGGAAACTCAGTGGTCGGACCTGCTTCGCCTGCACCAGCTGCCCTTCCAGCCATCGTGTGGACTCAAACAGTTTCTCGGTATGTCTCCGGAAAAGTGCAAGGACTGCTACAGGGTTGATAAGTTGTGGCAAATCTGGATATGTGATCTCCTGACGATATGATATGCAGGAGACCCTGTAACTATTCGACAATGGACCCTGTGGGGGCTACCAAATGATGAGTTATCTATTCAAAATGGCATAATCATGGACCGCGCGAGGCGCTGGCCCTTAATGATTGATCCGCAAGTGCGCTTACCGTATCACCGCATCGTACACGATATGTTTGAGTGCAAAATGCTCCTTAAATTGTACGCATGGCGCCTCCCCTCACATGAAGCTGATGTGGATGTATCACAGGAGGTGTGATCGTGTACTTGTTCTCCACAGGGGCAGGCAAACCGTTTTATTAAGCGAAATGGCAAGGCCACTGAAACTGGCTTCGAAGTACTGAAGATGTCTGATACCACTTTCATGAGAGAAATTGAGCTTGCCCTTCAGCTGGGGAAATGGGTCCTTATTGAAAACGTCTCAGAGACTCTAGATCCAGTACTCGACCCAATACTTCTCCAGCAAAAGACGAAGAGTGGCTCGGGTGAAATATAAAGGCACTCCTGCAGATTATTTGTGAGTCAGACTGCTCACATCGCCCTGGGAATTCCGTTGTATGTTTGGCTGTCATGGCCTGTGTGTTGTGTGTTGAAGGCTACACCATTAGACTGGGAGAAAAATCTATCCCATGGGGAGCCTCTTTTAAACTTTTTCTGACCACAAAACTCCCAAATCCAAAGTTCCCAGTTGATATATTTGTCAAGACAACGGTCATTAATTTTGCAATCACCCCAGAAGGTGGCGTTGCACGAAGTTATAGCGGGTTTTGCACGTCAGGCTTCTGAGGAGACTGCAGCCAGTTCCTCGTACCTACTGCATGAGTAGTGCGTCCGGGAAGTTTAGCAGGCAGTCTAACAAGGTAGTGAATCCTTGTCTGGTTCAGGCTTGGAAGATCAAATGCTTGGGCTTGTAGTGACAAAGGAAGCACCCCAGCTCGAAGAGCGAAAAGCTGCTTTGGCACAGAGTAATGCCGATATGCGGCGTGAGCTACAAGACTTGCAGGACAAAATCCTCCAGGTCATGTCGCAGTCGCAAGGGAACATCTTGGATGATGAAGTTTTGTTGAATACCCTAGCTGCATCCAAGCAGACGTCTGAGGAAATTCAAGAAAAGGTTCAGGAGGCGGAACTGACCGAGCGGGAGATTGACGAAGCACGGTATGTTGCTTAGGTCCATTCCCCTTCGTTTAAGGTAAACATTTGCATTAACCCAAAACACGCAAGGGGTACATACCAACGTTTCTGTTCAGGCAGTGCTACAGGAAAGTAGCAGCCCGATGTAGCCAACTCTTCTTTAGCCTGGTTGAACTGGCGTGCATTGAGCCTATGTACCAGTATTCTCAGCAGTGGTTTCAAAACCTGGTCTCGATCGGCATCAGCGAGGTGAGGATTTCGTTGGGAATGAAAAGCTTGCCAGTGTGATATGACCTCTCCGCAATCCGCATCCCATTGAGTTTAATCATCCTCGCCGTGGAAGCTATGCCTTCGAGGTCCCCGGCCCGCTGTGCAGACTCTCTTGCTTTCTTAAGCTGCAGAGCAGCGACTACAGCCCACGTCGTCATCAAGAGGGGCAAGCATCTTTGTTTGTGTTTTCTAAGGCCCCCACGACTCCAAATGTCGAGCAGCGAACTCAGTTGCTCGTGGACCACCTTTCCTATTTGGTGTATCAAAACGTGTCTAGATCCCTCTTTGTGAGACACAAGCTACTGTTTGCGTTCTCTCTCAGCTTGCGAGTGAGGCTCAATTCCTACAGTGGTATTCCAATGGATGTCTTTAGAGTATGTGGCAAGTACAAGAGCTCCAGGGCCACAGCTCTGTTCTGCAGAGAAGTAACTTTAGAGCTCCTTAGTGCTTTCGTGCACTTGCCGCAACAAGCGCAAGTGCAGAGATATGCGCTATTTCATACATATCCGGAAACTATTTGGCTGGACAGGTGCAAGCGAAGACTCCAGTGGATCCTGCAGAGCTACGCTTCCTCTTGACGGGTACTGTAGCTGCCTCAGGCAACAAGCAAAATCCCATATCCTGGCTCACAGAGAAGCAGTGGCAGGCAATATGCGAGCTTTCACATCTACCTGCATTCGATGGGCTGGACGAATCGCTGGAGCAAGAAGAAGAAGGTTTTCGACGGATTTTTGATTCGCTGGAAGCCGACCAGGAACCACTACCTGGCCGGTGGCAAGGCCTGAACTCAATTCAGGTGTGTTTCAACAGACGAATTGTTGCAGATAACTAATTGCGTCGTAATTTGTTTACGGACACCTCTGTTCAGGAAATAAGGGGGCATGGTAGTTGCTAGTGGTCGACTGCGCCCTCTTGCGCTCCTCAGAAAATGTGCATCCTCCGGATTCTCCGCATGGATTCCTTAACAGCTGCAGCAAGCAGCTATGTGGCTTCGGAACTGGGGGCTCGTTTTCTAGACCCTCCGCCATTTGACTTGGCCCAGTGCTACAAAGACTCCACCTCTCAAACGCCATTAATTTTCATTCTATCACAAGGCTCCGACCCCGTGTCTGAGCTCCATAGCTTCGCAAGAGAGATGAAGATGAGCAGGCGGTTCGAATCGATTTCATTAGGTGAAAATAAAGCACCTACGCTCGTCTTCGGTATTATTCCGTGACAGTGTCGTGCTGTCTCAGGTCTTTATAGCTATGTGAGGTCTCGTTTTGCAGAGGCGTGTGCAATTACATATCTTTACGGCCACGTTCTCCCCTTAAGCGTCAGCGTAAGTGGAGCTGTGTGCCTTTAGGACAAGGCCAGGGGCCCAAAGCAGCGAAGCTTATTGAAGAAGGATGCAGTCGGGGAGGATGGGTACTTCTGCAAAATTGCCACCTTGCTTCTTCATGGATGAGTGAGCTTGAACGCATATGTGAGCAATGGAATCCCGAAGAAGTGCACCGGGACTTTAGGTAGGCCACATTAACCCCATGAATAGCGCGCACTTTTCAGCTGACGCAGGCGTTCCAGTAATTTCATGTCTCCTACTATTCCCAAATTCCAATCGCTTCTCGGAGAATGGAATGCATTACATGTATTCGGTGCGCGTGTGCTAGGTTGTGGTTAACTTCCATGCCATCACCATCGTTCCCAGTTTCCGTCTTACAGAACGGAGTGAAAATGACTAATGAACCCCCGAAGGGGCTCAAGGCAAACTTGCAGCGCCTCTATGCGGGGATTGACAACCGACAGCTCAACGCAACGCAGCATCCTTCCCATTTCAAGAAACTGTTTTTTGCCTTTTGCTTCTTTCACGCTATAGTGCAAGTAGGTGAACCAACGAAGCGCGTCTCTGCTTCGACTTCATGGCTGTCTTGTACACGATCTCAATGACAATGTAAAGCAACCAACCGGCCTCAATGACAATGTTGCAACCGTTTGCCTGACAAATTCCCATTATGATCAACTATGATGAGTTAGATGATTGTGTGCAAACTAGGAACGCCGACGTTTCGGGCCAATCGGATGGAACATTCACTATGAGTTTACTCAAGATGACCTTGTCGTGTGCCAAAGGCAACTAAAAATTTTCCTTGACGCAAGCGACAACATCCCTTTTAAGGTGTGTTTGAGGCTCGTGTGTTCCAACAAACATCGAATATTCAGTACAACCTGCACATCAGGGCCACGTATGAATGAAAATATTGTGCGCAGAAAGCAGAAAGTCCGGCTGTTGTCTTCTATCAGGTTCTTCGCTTCCTCGGGGCTCGGATTAACTATGGTGGACGTGTCACTGATGCAAACGATAAGAGGCTCATTGATTTCATCCTCCACACCTACTTGAACGAGAGGCTTATTGAAGAGGTTAGACGTGTCTTGTGTTCAGGGGAATCCTTTACTTTCACCTGACGGTATGGGTTACAGCAAAAGATGTGTGGGAGCCGGTCATGCTGGATTTTCTCGCTCAGGGTGCAGCTTACAAGTTTTCAAACTCGGGAATTTACTACTGCCCTGATGAAGAGGACGTCGAAGGCTTCCAGAAATATATTGCATCACTGCCCGCAAATGCTCAGCCAGAAGTATTCGGCCTCCATGAGAATGCAAGCATAAACTGTGCCCAGATGGAGGGGAAGGTATGCCCCCGATTCGAGTGGGAGGATTCTATAATGGTGCCTAATCACGCAGTTGATCCAAAGTTTTTTCTCCCTATGAGTGACGGTCGTGTGCATTGTCACACTTGCTTTTCGTGCACTTGTGGGGAACTTCCGTGTGAATTGATTTAGGAGCTGCTAGACGGCATATTGTCCATGGCACCACGAAGTAGTTCGGCTGGCTCGACGTGCCGGGAGTCTGCCATTTCGGAACTCGCTGCTCATGTGCAATCTCTTCTGCCAGACTTATTTGACGTAGAAAGTATTCAACAAAAATATCCTACTCGCTACGACGAATCCATGAATACTGTGGTGGTTCAAGAGGCCATTAGGCGAGTGGCCTACTAAATCTGCTTCTTATTTGTCTACCGTCGTGTTTCCAAGTGGTGCTTTAAATAGCTGTACAAAGTGGATAAGGGCATGAGGAGAGGTACCGTGGTGGGCCCTGAATGAATTTGAGTGGTGCCAATTCTGTATGGCGTTCAGATACAATGGATTGCTAACCGTCATGAATAAGACAATAAAGGACCTACAGCTTGCAATAAGGGGGAGAATAGTGATGACAGAGGAGTTGGAGAAGATATCAGCCGCTCTCTTCGATAACCAGGTCCTGAGGTGGCACAATACTGTTTCGAACATGCGGTTGTCGCATGCCATGGAAACCAGGCTTGAAGCCTTACAGGGATCATGAAATTGACTGTTTTATCAGAATAACTGTAAAAATATCGTTCTCCTCTATGGTGATTTTGCAGGTTCCGAAAGTGTGGTCCGATAAAGGCTTCGTCTCAATGAAGCCTCTAGGCTCGTGGCTTAAGGACTTAATTGCGAGACTTGATTTCCTTAACACTTGGGTCGTCCAAGGGCCACCGAAATGCTACTGGATGTCGGGGTTCTTCTTCCCTCAGGCAAGATGACTTAGAGCTGCGGCAGATATCTGCCGAAATTTAGTAGGGAAGAGCCAGTGCGGTAGACTAGGAAAATATATGTTTGTTGCGCGCAGGCGTTCTTAACAGGCGTGCTTCAAAATTATGCACGAAAATACCGCGTCGCCGTCGATAGGCTTTCGTTCGCGTATACTGTCCTTAAGGCCACAGACGGATCGACTGTAGTAGAAGCTCCAGAGGACGGATGTTTCGTTCATGGTATTTTCTTGGAAGGATGCCGATGGGATGGAGACAGAGGAACGCTGGTAAGTGACAGCCGTGGTCTTTTCTGAGTAAACAGCGACTGATATGAGGCTTAGAGCGCTCCTATTAGCAGGGCAGTTTTGTATGTCTGGTGATAGCACGTGACATTACAGTTCCAGCGGAAGCAAAGCAGGTAGGCTCCCCCAGGTATTCATATGTCTATGCAGGTGCCTTCACGGCCTAAAGTGCTCTTTGAGGAGCTTCCGGTGGTGTGGTTCCTACCCCAAAGGGATCGGGTGCACGAGTCTACAACCATTTATATGTGTCCTTTATACAAGGTGCCTAGTCGCAAGGGGACACTATCCACAACAGGGCACTCGACAAACTACATCACTAGCATTGAGCTTCCTTGTTTTGACCCCCCTGACGTGCCTATCAAAGCTGGGGTAGCTGCACTTCTTGCACTTCAAGATTAAGGCATTGACTGCCCATCGTCGTTAATATGCCTGTTGTGAATCGAATTTGAAGTTCCCCATGAGGGATCAGTGCGAAACTCGGGCGATCCACTACTTTGATGCAAATGTTAGGCCCCTATGTCTTGGAATCTGCCATGTAGACACGCAGCAGAGAAGCCCTAAAAGTGAACGAAAAATCAAGGAGTACACAGCAAACGGGAACGTTATTGCCTGCGATATGTGCTTGGCTAACTAAGGGACCTCAAAAATTATTTTTTAAGAAGGGACATAATAATTTTTGGCTTTGTAGCATTCGGGTGCTCTCTATGCTGATCTAGCATGCTTTTTGTACAACAGCACAACCACTACAATGGTACTCAGAATGGACATTTCGACATGTTCGGCAGAGAGAACAAATAATAGTAGTAGTAGTATATTGGGCCGGACTAAACATGGCAAAAGTCTCTAAGACCAAGTGGGCCCTCCAGCTACCGGGGGTCTGTAAGACTGGCGGTGTTGCCCACTCAACCGGGGTTACCAGTGGATTATCACCATTAGTCTCCCTCTATTGGGAGGATTGGACCCAGGATATAAAGTAGGTACTTTCTTTAGATATTTCAAGGTTACATTAACGGTTGTTAGCCGAGTGTAGCCTATTCCGATAAATCGCATAGGGTGAGCAAGACTTCGACTGCAGAATACAGCGAATCACCGTTTCACTGTTGGCAGTGTTGAGTTATTTGCTCACAGGGCGCACTGGCCAACGATGTTGCCAAGTGCGACTAAAGGGGGCACTTAAACCCTTGTACGGCCCTTGTAGGCAAACTGTTTAGAGGCAAAAGTTCTAGGCAACTGTTTTGCACGGTCCCTACATGCAGATATGAAGGCTTGTTTATGCTTGTATTTGAGGCTAAATTGCACCTTGAGTTGCAGCAAGGTGCGATACAACTCACGTCTGGGCGCCTCCTCTCCTAGTGGTCTGGGCGCTTGTGCCGCTGAGCTCAGGGCTCCAGGAGACTGGGGAGTCAGACCACTTGCATTGAAGGCACCCTTATCCTAACTATTTGGGTTCCAATGTAACTCTTACTAGCCCGTGGAGAAGATCCAAGATCAGCGTTGCCGGGCAGTACCACACGAGCGACCAATAATCCGCGGAACACCTAAAGCGTCGACGTCACGGTAGTCCCCATGTCCCCAATTAAGCATATTTTGTCATTTTTCATGTAATATGAAATGATTTGCGCGACGTTATGATCCAATGCGGTGGGTGTGCAAGGCGTTACGAGCTGTGTCCCGCTTTGTTATATCGGGCATCCGTCGGGAAAGAGAACTGTGGCGGAGGCACAATAAGAAGGAGTTGTATAGCAAGCAGAGGAAAACAGGGAAGTTCAAAAGTAGATGGAATCTACTGCGTTTGTATGTATTTCAGGCGTCTATTTCAGGCGTCAACGGGATCATTAGCTGACGGGACTGCTGTCGCATGCGTGAGGTGGAGTCACATGCAAGATAGCTCAAATGTAGAGCTATACATATTACGTTCGTATCATCCTGTGTATGCAAAAATTGATAGCCGATATCGACAGTCACGTTAACAGTTAGTTATTAGCTTTCCTTCTAGATTTCTTGTACGTGGCCGGGGAGACCCTTTCTCCCAAGGCAGGCAGAATCCCACAGCAGCACCCGAACTTGCCAGGTGGTTTGTAAGCTCCCACTGCAACGCAGTGTCTGCGACATTATTAAGGCGGGAGGAATAATGTTGCAGAAGTCCAATCATGCAAATAACTTACACAGTAGGGAAGGCCTTGTCTGTGTGTGTAGAAATTGTTGGTTAGAGCAATTCTAGATGACGTCTCTACTCTGCGTCATCCTGCTAAAGGCTGCCACCTCCTCGGTTGACCAGGGGGTCAGCGAGTCAACAGCAAAAGCGCAGCGCACTGAACAGCACACGTATTGTTGGTGCCAGTAACAACTGCACCTACAATAAGGGAAAGATGCCCCGACGCTGCACAAGCAAGGAGGCAAAGCCACTGTTTTAACGAAGATTCAGGCGAAACCGTCTAGTATAGAAGGCACCTTCAGTAACAACAGACTGGCCTACTAGTGTTGGGCTTCGACGCGTTTTGGCTCGCGTACAAGGCAGCTTCCCCACTTACAGGTAGTCGTTTTCGAAATTGAAACGATAGAATTCGCACGGGGTCATGGCCGAGATGTCGCAAACTTCTAATCAGGAGCCCAGTGGTGGAAGGCGAGGAACTAAACGACAACGGAGGAGGTCCGATGGCTTGTCACCACGGGAAGTTATGCCGCTCGCACACCAGCAAACGTCTGATCTCCAAACGGCACAATCGGCATTGCTTCCAGGAGTTCGCACTAGGCGTTTAACGACGAGTGGGCAAGATTACTCTCAGAGGCGAGGGCAGAATGAACAACTGCGTCGACATGAGCAGCGTACAAGTACTCAACGCCGTTCAGTTCGCCGGCACCTACAACTGCGCCAGCGTCAATCCCCAGAGACCACATCAGGAACGTGCGAAGCCCCAAACAACGCTGCACCCAGTGCACCTAGCACACAAGAAGGGCCTACGGCAGATGCTCAGTGGAGACAGGACACACCAAACAATGCGTGCCCCGAGGGGCAAGCAACCCGAGCATCGACCAGGCAACGACGAAGAGCTGCAGGCTCACGTGGTCCTTGTGGAAGCACAAGAGCTTCCTCTTGCCCGATGGAACCGATAGAGCCCGACGAACCAGTCTGTGTTCTCCGCACTAATGCTGACCCTCCAAAAGACCCCAGTTCGCCGGTGTTGGACGGCAGTAGCATACCTGCATTTGATAAAATTTGGGTTGAAGAGGAAGAAGAAGGCAAACGGCTGCTAACTTTACTAGACAGAGCCCGCTCTGCTTTGCTCGAGCCACTTTTCGACTTCCCTGCTCAGCCCCAGCTAAACTGGAAACCTTCAAGCAACACTTGCTTAACGGGCGCGCTGGGATTCTCGGAAGCATTGGACGAGCCGAGCGTGTGGCTTAGTGACACCAATGGAAGCATCTCATCCCTGAGAGTCTTCAGTGGCGCTGCTTACCTTTCGCATAAACACATAGCTGCACTGTCTCAGACAGCAGCTGGTGTGCCATAATCTTATTGCACTTTACACGAGAGTAGTTCAGGGCGCTAGACGGTAGATCAGACTGTAGATCCAAGCAGGCTTGTGCTGCGGCACGAAAATGCCCACACTATTACAGTTGCATTTGCTGATTGGTGATAAATTAGATATATGATAAACTACCTTGCCACTGTGTGGTTCAGGTTTGCATGCACTGCTGCAGTCACCAACGGCGGCCCGATGGCACTTCCTTTTTTTTTGTTGCCTTTTGATTCGAAGCGCTGTTTCTGACCGTCTCCGCTATGGGCTTCATGCACAAGTAGAAGCAAAACCTAGCATAGGGCCACTGGACTTTGTGGTTCAGTGTGTGAAGGCGTGGAAATCATACACATTGGCATTGTTGCTCTTCAAATATCTCTACGCAAGGGGCTCGGAAGCTCTCTCGCAGCAACAGCCTGGATGCTTCAGCAACCCTGCGAAGTTTGAAATGCATGCAGCAAATGCGTCAGAGGAGGCGCTGTTGGCAGCTCAAGCAGCAGGGATAAGAAGCGCCAAAGCGCGTGAAGCTGTAGCACGTGCAGCAATGAAGCTTCTATGCCAAGTTTCTACTATCGATGAGGCTGCTGTTGTCATTTTTGGGCGCTTTGTCAGCAGACTGCCCTATCCTCCAGTTGGCGCTGTGTAAAAGAACCATTTTGCTTTAAAAGTTGTCATACGTGGATCCTTAACTAGTCCTTAAAATACCGTTTGTTCAGTACCAGAACCCATACCCTTGGTGCATGGCTTGTGCACATGGTGTCAGGCACTATGCGGGCTCGTGGAGCTGTTAAGGTCTCGAGTGTGGGGAGTAATCGATCAGTTAAGGCATGAGTGCTCCAGAATAATAATCGAGTCAGCATTGACAAGTTTCGTGCAAGCTGAAGTTGGCCATCAGCTGGATGGTACAAGATTGGTTGAAGAGCGTCAACAATCGGGGAATGCGTACGAGGCCTTCAACGAAAATCCCCATCTGCAACAGCAGCACGAGCTTCAGCAGCAGTCAAAGCATCCGGATGCTCTTCACTGTAATGTTCCATCCCAGTTGTTGAGCATTCCGGTGACGGAGAGTGGGAAGTCTTGCGAGCAGCAACGGGACCAGCTCCCCCTTAAACAACAGGAAGGGAAAGAAGAGCAGCTGCAGCACGGCGATGATTACGATGTGTATCTGGTAACTATCCTCTCTGCAGAGGCGAGTATCGCTTTGGCGCCTGTGGGTCTGCGGCAGATGCAACCGCAACTCGACAATCCTACTGGGCATCCCCCTGTCTGTGAAAGCCAAGCAAGGATTCCAGCAGCCACTCACCAGGATACTTTCAAAGAGAAAACCCAAAGCCCAGAATGCATGGGTGCGCACGAACAGCGCAGCCCACCAGTCTGCATGGTAAGGCCAAACGAGGAGGAAACTCCCGTGTCATTGCTTGCTGGGCAAGCTGCAACAACAGGACTGCCAGCAGCAACAGCACAACTCCAGTGGATCCGGGAGGCCCTGATTATGTTGAGAAGAATTGATGATCCACAGTACGTCCAACTGCAGCGCCGGAAGAAGACAGCCGCGACTGCCGGAGCAAGTGCCGCTTCCCCTTCACCAACTCAACATGGAGGAAGCACACTGCTTCCAGAAGACACAGCAGATGCATCTACGGTGGCACCTCTCTGCCCAGGTTCATACAAGTGTGTTTTGCCGCCCCCGCCGAGGAGCAGCCGCTTGTTATATGTGATGTGGGTTGGTGTGGGTGGAGGGCCATGGGGAGGACGTTCAAATACGTGGTTTAACCATAGAAGGTGTGTCTCAACTGACAGAAACGACGAATCAGCTGCCGTGAACCGCGTGATTGCAGCAGAGACTGGAAAAACTGGAAATTGAGAACTGCATGTGCTAATCAGCTAACATTTTATGCACAAATGAGCATCCGCTGCTCTTGATACAGGAGCTGATGATGACTTTATTCTGAAGCACAAATTTCATGTGCAAAGCATGCTTGCGCTAAATGCTCTTGCATTTGGGCACTAAGCCCTTCACGTCAAGTCATGTACTTGCGTTTTCAGGCAGTTATTGGAAGGGGTTGCAACAGCTCATGGACACGCAGCTGCTAAGATGATTGCTGGAAATGTGGAACTGCGAGCCTTTCTTCGAGCGGTGGAGGCGCTTGCAGCTGCAGAACGCTGTCTCACTGAAACTTGTTTCGGTGCCCCAGTAGGCACGTACTGGTACCTTCCATGCATGGCCTTTCTCGGGTGCCTCAAAAATACATTGGTGCCTGGAAATACAACAGTGTTCTGTTAGCTAAGCAGTTTAGTAGCTGATAGCACTCTTCACAGCTGGGAGTATTCGTGTTGTCTTTGTCGCCCTGTTTTCAGCTGATTCTGCGGTGCAGGTAGCTCGACAGGTCTTACTAAGGAAGTGTTTTGACAAAGTCATGTTGCTTCGACCCACTTTGCAGCAGCTGCTACGAGAAGATGACTGGAGTGGCAAGCGTCCACAATGCATGATTTAATCGTCACTCCTAAATATATGTATTGGGAGCGTCATGCCGGTATATGCGCCCGCCTTGTTTCCCCCCAACTGCTTTCGGGTTTCTCCTGTGCACAATGCTGCAGTGGTGGTGCTGCTTTTGCACTGGGCGAAGGAGTGGCCAGAGTGTTTAGACAGCATTGCTCATCAACTGCGCCTGTATTGGTCATCATCGCTCAGCGATTCAATCCAGTAAGAATTTCAAAAAACGGTCAAAACACCCCAACCATGACCGAAAACAGTATATCTATCCCGATGCTTCTTCAGTACCAAGGCTCGAAAAGCCTATTGCGAAACAGTAATATTTTAGGTTTTTCATACTAACTGTCTTCTGGTGCTTCTGCAAGCTCAGATGTGCATCTAAGCAGTGGGACCTCATATGCACTGCTTGCCGGGAAGGACAAGGCGCTCTAAGGCTACCACAAATTGAAGAGCCGTCGCATGTAGGCATCGGCAGTAACATTCAAAATGGGCGGCAGCAAGAGAAAGGACGTAATGCTGCATCAGACGCTGAAGACAAAGAGGAACCTTTGCGCACAAGAGCAATTACGTCGTCTTCAGCACAAACAGCAGTCTCAGGACAAGCAAACCCAAGCTGTGATGTTAAACCAAAAGGGACACCTGTACACTGCGACTTTTGTCCTCTGAGAGGCGAAATGCTCGTCCTGTTGCTGTTGCAATACCTCAAAAGATCCGAGAAACAGCTAACAGTGTTCTGTAACAATGCGCCAATCGCTATTGAGTCCCGGAACCAGGTATCCTACGTGACGTAAACAGCAGGCAGTTTCTTGCACATTAGCAACCTACAGCAATTGTTGCTGCATGCTTTCAAGCTATTCGAAGGTTCCGCGGCCAATAATGTTTACAGAAGTAGCCATACTCTCAACTTTTGAATGCCTGGCGCAGGCCTTTGACACGGTCGTGTCAAATCCGCAAGTGGCGCGGTGCTTAGCTTGTATGGCAGTTCCTACTGCCAAAATACTCACAGTTGAGGAGGCAGTGGCTGCGTATATGGACCTACAACTACGACGTGCTGCAGCTGCAACGTTGCCGTCAAAGGACGGCCAGACGCCAGAAGCCAACATCTGGGAAGTGCGTCTTCCTTGCAACATACGTTGTACTGCACAGAGCAGGGAGCAGCAGCCACCAGCATTACATCATCTGAGCGTGAATGAAAGGCACAAAAGCTCCTCTCCCTTGTTTTCAGGAGACTATAGCTCGCCTATGCTCTAGACTGCAGTTCCCAGAACGTTTCCTCTCGGCATATGCAAGACTGCTAGCCCGCAGGCTCTTGCCAGAGTGGGTTACTTGGGGCCTTAGCAGCAGGAATAGTCCCCTTGAGTGTGATATGCTTGTTAACCGTCTCGAGAGGATTCCGATCCATGTACGGCTAGCTCGAGCGCGCCGTGCGGCGGGGAACAATCATTGCGCATACCGGGCCTTTTTTGAAGACAGTGTCACACAAGATAGCCAGCGGGCAGTGGGCACTGTAGATGTCTTCTCTGGTGTAGCAGCAACAGTTTGTGCCTTAGAATTGAGAGTATGGGAGGCAATACAACATGCGTTTGAGGCCCGCTGCCCTGTTCCACCAGAAGAGCAGTGGCGTGTGCGACAGGTTATATCGGACATTGCTGCAGCAAGGGAGACTTTATTTCTGTACATGAGCCACGCACAACAAAAATCGGCTTCCCCTTGTCCCAGAACCGCAGTGGTTTCTTCCGACGCAACCGCCGCAGAAGTGCCTCTTGCGGTGGAGGATGCTGAGACTGGCGCCGACCAGCAGCTGCCGCACAGTACGGTAGTGGAGAAGGAAGGTCATGCTACTTCCGAAGAAACCCTAGGGACCGAATGCAAGCCAGCTGCTTCAACAGGAGCTAAACCCGAACGAGCTTGTAGGTTCGAGGCCTTGGTTCTCACTAAAACAGCCTGGGAGATGTACCTCCCCTTTGGCACCCCTGAAACAAGAAGCCACCCCGTAAAGCCGCCCGGATCGGAGGCCCTCCTTGGCCGGCTCAGCAAACTGTTGGTAAATGTTGGAGGACTCAATATTCCAAAAGAGCTACATATGCACTTGGAGGTTGGTTTGCTCTCTGGGATCAGGGGTGTATTGTCCACTAACCACAGGGCGAGCGTAATCTACTCACGCAACACCATTGATGTATAACCCTGCTTCATTTTTAGTAGTCTTGCAGCTAGTTTTGCTACGTTTAATTTCTGTGCACAATAAAATGAGTAGGTCCCGTTTACCTTGTTGCTGGCCTCGCCTGTGGCGAAGAGGAAAATATACAACATACTTCACACCCCAGAACTGTTTTTATAGCTCATTTGTCTTTACAGGCATTTAGCAGCATGTACAAAACACATTTCCCCGAGCGGCAGCTTCTTTGGCTGTGGAGAGCGGGACACGCAGACATGACCGTCATCCTTCGTCAGCACCAGCAAGAGACTCAGCCTCCAGCTGAGATCTCTGCTAAAGTGCAAGCAGCGGACTTCCGCGTGTGCCTGATAACAGCATTTGTACTGCTACTCTTTAACGAGTACGTACTAGCGGCTGTTTGCAACGGCGAGTTGCATCAGTGACTCTGCTTCTCCATAACATGAATCTCAAATCGCCAGGTAGCAAAAGAAGAAGCCTGCAGTGAAAGGGGGAACAGCAACATTCATGAGAGGCCGGAAAGTTGCCGTTACAAGGAACTTCTCATGGACGGTTTCTGTGTTGTGATTTTGCTTATTGCAGAATTCCACTTGTTTCGGCGCAGACAGCATCGCACTTAATTGGCGTTTCCACGGAAGAAGCCTCGTCTATCTTAAAAGGCCTTCAGACGGAACCGCAAAACCTTCTGGTATGCCGCTGACTCTCGCAGCCAGCTAAGCATCTCCATTCATGTGGATAAACCCGGAGCACTCTAGCCCCTTTTCCCCATAAAGCTGGCAGGCAGGCCTACATCCATCGTTGTTCCAGCGTGAATCTTGTCTCTTCTTAGCGCAGGTCCTCAGGCGACGGCCTATCTTCGTTGTTCTGCTTCAATGCAGAGCTTGACATTAAGCGTCTCCCTTGCGTAGTCAACCCTCTTGCAGTAAATTGAAACACGTTATTTCGTTATTGCTATACGAATTTAATGACCTCTTATTTGTCATCGTCGAAGTGTACAGCGTGCTTGTTCTGCTCTGTGTGGACAATCGAACAGGCCGGAGGCTCTACAGAAAAGGGTAATGAACCACTGTCTCCACGGAGGGTACGCGGCCCACTTGATGCGGAAGAGAGAGCAAAGCTTGATGCTAAACTCGTGAGGATATTCAAGCAACACCGCCGACTGACTCACCAACAATTGATGCAGATTCTGCAAAGGTCTGCTGAGAAGCCTTCCACAACAGGCGAGCATGCTGATTGTTGCGGGTTGAGGCCGGAAACTGTGAAGTCATCTCTTGAAGGTCTAATATCAAAGGAATACATCGCCAGAGACGAATCAGACCGGTATGTGCTTGTTGCGAACACTGTAGAAACCTGGTTGCTGCAGTTCCCCTCGTAGCAACCCAGGGTTTGCACTGCAAGTTTGCGTTGCAGGAACGTATACTTATACATCCCGTGAGGATGTTCTGAAGGTTCCAGGGGAAGCGCAAGTGGCTGGTTCACTATTGCCACGCTTGTGATCCCATCGAATGCTATGTCTTAATGAGCAAGCCATAGCTCGCTAATTGAAAATTTGGTTTGCTCCGCTTCTGACCGTTAGGCAGAAATCTGTCGACCGAGGCCAATTATTTATATATTGTCAGGTGAGAACCCTCAAAAGGCCGCTCCACGTAAACTACCATTTTCTTGCTCCCGCTTGGCAGGAATCCATTCATGAATGTTCACCTGTGCGAGAATGAAACTTCATTAAGTTGCTTTTCTTCAGACTAGATATTTAGTGCCAGCAGTACGATGAGCGCAGTCAACACTTAGTTAAAAGACTGCGTCATGCATTATACCTGCGGACAATTAAGTCTCCGTCGTTACCATCTCAGCTGTGGCAGACCGGTTTGGATATGTGAGTCTGGTACCATGATGAGAAAACGCAGCGCGAAAATAAATGTATGTTTATTTCACTGCGCCTACTAGCAACAGGATATCTGTCGTGACCAACTGACGTGTGCATTGAGTGTTTGGTTGTATTCCTCGACCAAATGCACCCAAACAATCAGCACACCCGAACAAAAATGTAAAAACGCGTACGAGAGTGCATAGCAAGACTACTAAGAAACTACGGAACACAACATGTTTGCCATTTGGGGATGGCTCTGATTGTCTGTTAAGCTGTAGGAAACTTGTCCAGATTCTTAGTGCCATGCGCGGGACTGCTGCAGTGCAGTTTTAGTTGCTGGGCGCTGCTATGGGTCTACAGGGGAGCAAGCACTAGGGGTTGTTATTGTCCCAATGTTCTCAGTATATTCTCATACACAGTTGGGATGCGTTCTGATGGATTTCTGCTTGACTCGAACATTTATATCAAGGATGCGAAATACCTCGGAGGGCAGAACTCCAGTTAATCCTGAATGGCCAGTTCTGCAAACAGAGTACTAAAGGGAGCGAGCAGCGGAGTATCTATAGTTGTATGCACCCGTTCTAGACAAATCTGCCAATTATTATGAATAGAGGGTCAGGAAATTTGTCGCTTTGCTGGTTGATAGGCCAGCACTCAGCCGGGGCCATAAAGCTAAGTAATGTAGCCCTGATCAGCTGCGCTTCTGTAGGAGAATGCAGTGGTGCCTTCAATTGGCATATAGTGGCTATACTGCTTTACAAAATACTTGTGATGCACACCATTTGTGTACGCACGTCTTAGCAGTACGAGAAGCCCCACTGACAGCGTTGGAGTCATTGCGGCATAATTATTGTCCACAGTGCCACTTGGGCAAATACTTAAACTTAAGAAAGGCAAGTAGGATATTAGCCGTATCGACGAAGAGACGCGTCTCTTCACTCCAAGTGACTCCAGTCACTTTTCTCTCACTCCAAGTGAGAGAAAAATGACTGGAGTCCCTATACCTATGACTATACGAACCTACTCCAGCAACACTGTCCCCCATTCAGGCAAAAGCAGAACTCTTACAGCCATAGCGGGTCCTCCACTAGTATGAAGCAACAGGAAAACTATAAGCCAGGTTGCCTTTAAGCTTTACAACTGGCATGAAGTGCCCCCTGAAGTGCCGCCCATCTCAGATGCTCAGTTGAGTACGAGCATGCCATGGTGCACGACGGGCCTTCTTGCCACCCGTCGACAAATCATAGACGGCCTAACTCACCCAATATTGCAAAAGTACACCCTTAGAGTATATGCCTTGAAGCTACTGCCTTTGCAGTAGCTTCAAGGCATCCATTCAAGCATTGGTGAAAGCGCTTGTTCTCCGCTCGAAAGAGATGAAGTTGTCATACTGCACTTTACACCGCTGCATAAGCTAATGCAAACGAATGGTAAGCCGCGTGCGAATTGGCATCAGCAGCTACATACGGTACCACCATTGTCAAGCGCTGTTCCGCTGTGTCTTATGCTGCCTCCTTCCCACTCATTGGTGCACCCGTCCTTAGCTGAGCATTCCCGCACGTTAGAACGTGTGGTGTATGGGAATAGGGTAGATGGAGACGTAACGTGGTAGGTCTGAAGTTGGTCCACGCATTTCCAGTTGCGTAAAGGCTTGCTATGCAGGGCCGCCCAGTACAAATTTAGCAGCAGTTTATGGTGTTGGTGCAAGCATCGAAACTCAAATTCTGCGCTGAACGCCTGGAGGCTGGTGGGTGCTGAGTATCCTGGTTCTATGCTGGTCACAGCCGTCCGTAGCTAAGATCCAGGATTCGGCAAAAATGGGTAGTATAAGCGTTGGAGAAGAGCAGATGCGAATACCACCAGTGTTACCACCAGTGCCACGATGCTTGGACAGTGGAGGACTGCGACGTAAGCTAACCTTCATAAATGCATCCCAAGAGCTACAGTAGAGATACCACCAACGTGGAAGTGTCACCAAACCGTCCATGTTGGTTTCCCAAGGAGGATTCGGGGAAATTTCCAGAATGCCAGGAACACACTTTACAAGATGGCAGCAACGTCACAGTGACAACGATCCAGTGGTGTAGACGGAGCTTCTGAACACGCGCTGGAGAGGCCGCCGAAAACGAGAATACTACTTTGAAATGCTCGGAGGTGCGTATTCGAATGCATATCACTACAACCGCTTCCTATCTAAAACTACTGGAGGGGACCTCGGGGTCGCTTATCCACCTTGTGGCAGTGGCAGGAGCCCTGCCTGTTGTTGCATGCCAGCCAAAAGTCATTGACAACTTCTATCAGGCGGGGCTTATCCCATAAGATGACGCTTTTAACCCAGGATTTAGGCAGAGAACGGTGTAGTGGCCGAAGGCCACGCCACTGTGTGGGCGCCCGCGGAGAAATGGGGTGGGCAGCAGCAGCAGAAAATAAAAGCAGCACCAGAACAAGCTGTTAGCTTTTCCTCCCTACTGGCACTAACAAGCGGTGTAAGGCCCAGAGTCAGTACATACTCTGGAAACAGTCTCAAGAAAGAAAAGAAGCTTATTGGACCGTGCTGCACCCCGTAGAGCTATGAACTGGCAGCTCTGCCCAAGCCCACGGAAGTACACCTGCCTGCCCTTCCAACTCAAAACTAGTTTTCGTTCTTTAGGACAACGTACCTAAGGACGCCTCCTTAACACCTTTTAAATCGGGAGTGGATCTGAATCAGTGGGTAACAAGTATAATCAACTCTTATTCATGCTTCCAAAGACCACGTACACTGGAAAACTCTTCGAGAACATGCTTGTTGGGGAAAGACGATTTTACTGTCTTCTACTGAAGTGTAGAGGCTGTTCTGCATCTCCATAGCACTCCAATCCTACTCACAAATAAAGGCATCAGCTGGCCAGATATTGCTGTGCCACAAATCCAGTTCATGGTCATTCCCTTGCAGCTAAGGTGTCAGCAAATCTTACCCCAATAAAAGGTCACGAAAGCTGAACAACCTACCCTGCAGCGAAGGTGCTGACAACAAGCAAGATATTCAGTAAGGCGTCCCCCTTAACATCCCCTGTTGAGAGGCCGCATTTGCTCGTCGACTCCTTGAAGGGTTCAGGCTTAGGGCAAACTTCGAATTGGCTCCAGTTGCGCCTAGACGGTGAGGTCCATCCAAGCTCTTCAGTTTTACCAGCGCTTGTGCTAGAATTTCCCGTATCCTGAAGAATTCGTTCTATCTGTATCGAAGAGTCCGTTGATGAATACGAATCACCCTTAGACAATGCTACAGTATTCAGCAACTTGAATTCGTGGCGCTTGGAACGGATTTCTTGTCGAACTGCACTACGCGTCCTCAGGGCAGTCTCTGCAACCATGTGTTCCACTCGCGCCCTTTGCTGCATCGCCACAAAAATACTTCCAGAGTGTAAAGTTCCACAAGAACGTCCGGCTAATGGTGGAGCCAGCCATAAGCCATGCTCATCCGCTAAGGACGCTCCCCACTCCGTCTATCATTTTTGCGTTAGCCATTGGTGCACTGGAGAAAGGAACCTGATCTAGTGAAGTGTTGAAGCAGTAGACGTTGCTGGATATATCTTTCCTGTGGTTGACGATCCTTGACTGACGCTCTAAACAGCATGCAGTTGATATCAGGTGCTGAAAGGAGACTGTATAGGCCATTCTATATATCGGCTAGTTGCAGAAGTGTGCTGGACCGATGATGACGGTAGTCAATTTGCCCGTCGAACCCACCCAAAACGTTGATCGTGAAAACAGCTGGGCCGCTGCTAGGTCGTAGCTTATGACAATGTTGTCTATAAGCGTCCCACTATCCATCGCCATGAACGCCAGGCCCACTGCATTAAAGGTTGGAAAGTCCGTCGGTAACGTCTGAACTCAGAGTCCAAAAACACAGAAATGGGCTGAAAGATCAGGTGAATTTGGCTACAAGTACCGGTTTTTTCTGGGCAAAAAAAAGGTAGGATCAATTGCCATGCTGCCCCAACTAGCGCTTTGCTACTCAGGTGCATCCATACACCGATAGTCGAGCTTGGCCGCGGCCACGGTGGAGTCATGTTTTCAAATATGTCCCCCTGTAGAATACAACAAACAGCACTGTCAACTGTCTCGTTTTGAACCTAACTAACCTCAGGCTAGATTATGGCTCAAATATTTCTCCTGGGCTGTGGTGATCACCTTGCGGACGACCCGCCCATCGAGAAGAATCGTGAACGCTCCCTCCGGCTTTATTATCAAAGTGAGCAGACGGCTTTTCTGACTAAACGGCAGCGCCAGGCGAGGATACAGCGAATGCTCGATGCTGAACAGCAGAACTTTACTCATGGTTAGCTATTCAACGTCTTAATGAGCGGGCCACTTCACAAGCAGCACATATGCAACTTTGACTAGCGCAGCAGGCGCAGTTTACATCTTCTTTGTTTTGGAACAGCTTCTACTAATTTTGAAGATGATTTCCCGGCGGTATCCGCACTGGTCAGCACCAAACCGTAATGCATATGGAGTGCTTTCATCGAAGTGACATTGCGTTTGAGCATCCGCTGCAAAGAACGTCAAGTAGCCTCCGCCACAACCAAAGTCTGGGTGGTGTTGCTGCACCTCGTATTGGAGCACTAGGGGCTTTTCTGAAGACAGCCTGACGGTAGTGGGGAGGACGGTGCTGACTGCATGCCGAAAACCCTAAACGTGACATCCACTCAAGCACAATGGGAGACAGCATACAATGACGCACATGAACAGCACAGCGGCTAAATCTTAAAATATCTCGAAATGTGCACATATGCTGGCTCTCGGCAGGAGCCTATAACTGCCTTTTAAGAACGTGGCAGGGTTCGCCTTACGGGGGATGCCGCCATCAGCCCACGATCCCCTTGGATTGCCGCTGGTAGTCTGATTTGATGATGCCAATGCCCTGCCAAAAGGTGAAACACTATTTGGCTGGACAAACTGAGTAAATGATGGAGTCCCTAGTAAATGGTATTCTAAAACTGATATGAGAATCAACCGTGCATAAGGGAGGACGCGTTTCATGAGCGTAACAGCATCGATGCTGAACATTCTCCTAGACACGTTGCTATGCACTACAAATGAGCTCATACAGAGGGCATCGTATCTGCATTGCCTCAAGGCCAAGGTAAGTCCGGCGCCCACCTTGATGAGTGTAACTCCTAGAGATTACCCAGGAGCTAAAGACATCGGGCTTGTCAAACATTTCAGCAAACAAAAGCCCTTCCAATGAAGGCGAAGCCTGAGAGACTCTTGGGATTTTTGCAAGTTCTTCTTTGACCCGGCTGTCCATATACTCTCGCTCCTCGACAGATAGGTGCAAATCATGGCCAAAATCAATAGGTGGTTCCTCTTCTACTACTGCAGCTGACAACCGGTCCAGAAGCCGCTCCTCTGCAGGATCTGGGGGTGGGTCTTCGTCTGCATCTGCTTTTGCTAGTCTCTCAGCAGCAATCCATCTCGCAAACTCTTGTCTCCTTTGCCACCGTAATAGGGCGTTTCGCTCTTCAGGGTCCATACCTTCTTCTGCGTCCTTATCAGTCCGTTCCTCAAATGTCTCACTTTCTGAGCCATGCTTAGGAATTTCGTTGTTACCAGAAGAACTTAATTTAGCAGATTTTGTGGCGTTTCCGTATGCGTGCTTCCATTTGCTAGTCCCGCTGTGGAGGACAGAACCAGTGCTCACTCCGCTTGGCTCCACCTCGACTGCAGCACACATATTCTCTTACCAGGTGCTAGAGTGCCTTGAACCTCTAATGTCCCACTAAATTATGTAGTGCCATTTTGTTAGGTCTTGAAGCTTTACTGGAATTGTTCACCACAGTTTTACTGCATAGCTTCTATCTGTGGAAGCTCTTTCGCCGGCTACCCGCTATTAGCTATTCCATTCCTCTCAGACGTATGACAGAGCTCAATAGAGCCTTCTTGTTTAGACTGTTAAAGGGGTGGTAGACTTAGGGGACCGCCGTACCAGCCGTCTCCTCTTTTGCCCGGCGTTGTTTCAGAGCACGTTGTTTTTGTGGCTGCACTATTCCCTCCACTATCTGCCGACTGTGGCGGTTCTTGGCAATCCATTGCTTGAAAGTAGTATTACGCCACAGTTTATGCTCTTGACTAGAAGGCGCCGACGCTCTTGAATGGATTGTTTGTTCTCTCAGCGCTGCATTAGTTGCCTCCTCCTTCCGTAGACCTACGCACTTAAACGTCTCTGTGTTTTGGAAGCCCCTGTATATCGATAGAGTCCCACTTTGCGAATATCTTGGACAGGTTCCAGGAGCCAAAACATTGCCAGCGGTGGCTAATAAGCTTGCTATGTTACCGAGCAAAATAATTGTGGAGGGGGAAGGCAACATTTGCGCAGGATTGGTCGTGTGGGATTTATGTCGCGATAATTGATAAGTACTGTTCAAAGACAGAGCTAACGCTTTGTTTTTGTTTTGCCCACGCACACCCACAATATGTAGTCCAGCGCGATGCTTTTAAACTAACGGAAGGAAACAACAGGCCGCGATAAATGTTTCTGGGCGTGCAGAGAACTCTTACACTCTCTGGAGAAAAGTGGAACCTACCACAGACCCTCGAGTCACACATAGGGTAGGATCAATCGCCAGCCGTTTGAGGAAAACTATCGCAAGAGCTTCGTTTGGCTTATGGAAAAAGGAGAATCACGACAGCACTGATAAACAACAACTTTCCCTGCCGGCGCACGGTCTCAGACCCCCCACTTCTGATCAGCACATCAAACAACGTGCTAGCCTCCGAAACATGTGAAACACCTTTGAGGCGTCCCTGCAGGCCTGATATGCAGATAATAGATTATACTTTTGGATACGACGTTGGCCGTCAGGTATGTGAGTTAAAGTTTGCACATTACACGAAAGAGTGCTGCGATCTTAGCGCCTTTCTCTGCTGGTAGGGGGAGAGACGGGATAGAAAAAAGGGGAAATGTATGACTCTGGCACAGACCACTTTAAGGCGTTTAATATCCTTTGAGCATACACCAGAATTTTTACATTAGTTACGCGCGATATCTGCGGAGATGATGGGTGGGCAAGTGGGCGAATATGACTGCCACCCCCCAACCCCCCCGCCCCAATGTAACCATCTTGTAGCTGTGACACTGAATGAGGCCTAACGCACAGTTAGACCCAAAACATGAGAAAGATGGCGATGGCTTTTTAATCAAGAGAGCGAATGCCTTCATGAAGAATGGGGCTATAAAGTTATGTAATGCAGGAGCTGGTCACTGGCAACGACGGAAAGTGCGTAGCGGATAAGCGAATGTGGCCAACCAATGCATGATTCTTCAGAACAGTGTTGCCACGTTTAAGTAGAGTTCTGTTTAAATATGTTACTAAGTATGGGAATACGTTTCTAAATACGAGGAATGTCAGCAGCAAGGGCTGTGGAACAATCTCAAACCCACACTCTTGCAGAGTCATTCGGTTCCCGATCAAATCTGGATTGATATCTACGGGGAAGCATCTACATCGTAGATGATTGGAAGCAAGTATGCCCACTTCACACCTTGTTCTGGTTCGGCTGCAGCAGAGGGAATGGCCCAACTATTCATTGATCATCTCTGGAAGCTTCCCGGTCTTCCGAAAACTATCACCACTGACTGGAATTCGAGGTTCGTTAGCAGCGTTTGGCGCGAGTGCAAGAAGCAGCCTACCATAGACCGTATCATGGCAACTGCAAACTAGCCGGAGGAAGAGGGTCGAACCGAACTCACCAGCTACACGCTGGTTCAGAATTTGTGTCTCCATATCCACCACAATTCCAAGCAGTTGCTTGATTCTCCCATTTAGGCGGAATGGGTTTCTAATTGAAGGGTGCACTCTTCCAATCATCGCCCTCCGGCAACCACGTTTTAGGCCGGCAATATGCCTTTGGCGCATTCCACGTTAGATCTTGTTCTCGGAAGCCATCACCACATCTGCGCAACCTAATACTTCCGCACGCAGCTCGACGTAGAGTGGGAAGGTATGAAAGACGTGAAGTCCAGGGTGGAAAATATGGTGGAAAGCGTTTAGCAGTTACTTCCAACCCAAGAGACGTGCCTTCAGTGGTTTTGCAACCCCTCTGAAGGGCGTAAGAGTGCGATTAGCATCCAAAGCTAAGGCTGTTGCGCTGTACAGTGAGTAGAATTTTTGCTGTTCGCTTTCTTCACAGTGTGCTGGCCTCCATCGTCAACTTAGTGTTATCTTTGGGGTTCATTGTTTCAATTAATGCTGTTTATATAAAACGGTGCAAGGCGTCACCGAAATACCTCCCGAAGGGTCAACGACGCCGTGGTTGAAAACCACAATTGGAGGAGACTGAAACCATAAACGCCAGTGACAATATTCGTAGATTCCAAAAAAGGCGTGCACATTGATATAAATGGCACGTTGAATGGGCCCTTGTGAATTGTAGGCGAGAAGCCATTCCCCGTGAGCATCTACAGGCCTGGCTTGGTTGGCAACAGCTTCAAGCAACGCAGGTTGGGACTCATTTAATTACCTGGTGATCGCTGTAGCTTCACAACCAGGAGGCCCAAATATTTCACTTCCCACGTGCTCCAGTACGCCAACTATTCCCTATTTTCTGCCTACAGGGGGCAGCCTTCCGTCTATACAAGGATTCGTACTTGGTATCACCGTTCAGTGCTACCACGTGTAATACGAGTGCTCATTCTTATCTGACGACTATTGTGAGCTGCATTGGAAACCAACATACATAGGATAGGAGTGCCCAAAAAGGAGTGGGCATGCCCCGCCAGTCTCCAGACGCCCTGAACGCTGCAACGCAAGCGTGTGGGACTGCGGGGGAGAAGGCACCCTAACACGAGTTGCCAAGTACCTTGCTGCAGCTAACGATGCACAACATCCTAAGTGTAAGCACAAATAAGCCTGCTTAGCTGTACGTATGAACAGTGCAGACAACATTTGAGAACCTCTGCTTGCGTGCCGTTTGTCTGCTAGGTTAGGGTTTCATGGGCCAACATCACAGAGACTTTTCAGCCTCGAACAGACTAAGCTACAGCAATCAAGTAAACCTTGCCCGCCCATTAACTCCCAAACTTAATACCCGTCTCATGGCCTACTAAATTTTAGATCGGTAAAACTAACCCTCAATCAGGGTGGAGAAACCGACTAATACAGCAAAGCTACTGGGCATGCAGCTGGAACCGTAGTTGTTGTGAAGATAAATAGCCGTTTCTCCTCACATATGCCGTGATACCAAGTACTTGTCAACAACGGACAAGTTTTTCTAGTCACCCCAAGCACACCTGCCCCCACAGCTGCACGGGGTTCAGAATGGGGCATACAATAATCCCGAAGCCCCTATTTGATAACAGTTATCTATTGTTAGTGAATGCACCGACACTGTGGAAACCTACTTGGCAACACCCGCCACAGGAACACATTGTATGATGGAGGCTGCTTCATCTTGGCCTTGCAGTTCGTTTCCAGTAAACGAGCCAACGAAATTAGCGATGGTAGGGTCTAGAACAAATTTATGGGGCCAGGATGTGATAAGGGCAACAGAGATCCATGATCAACAGACTTTGAACTGTTGGGTTCGGACGCCGCGGCGCAACGCTGGGCACCATTCAGAAATCGTAAGAGAATTCGCCAGGAGATCAGCTTATTTCATTCTTCTGTATTTTGTTGGCTACTCTAGCAGAGTCCGGTAAGATACACATCTCAGGCAGAACACAAACAGGATGTCGTACCTTTGAGGCGGCCTGACTATGCGACCATTAATAATGTGAGTCGGCCTGCAGTGCCTACGCTAACATGTTCACGAACACTCTACACACTTAACCAATTCTGCTAGAATGCCTTTTCGAAGTCAATATTGGCTTGGGCGTGAACTCCACGCCACCTAAATACGACGGTGAGAACGAACTAATTGCAATGGCCTACTGTGTTGGTGCGCGCGCCAACACCGAGGAGAATTGCCATCGTCTAAATTGGCGCTGTAGCGGGCCTCCATGGAGTAGGATGTACAGCAAGCCATTGATATCCTAGGGTCGCGAATGGGCTCTTCGTGAGAATACAAGCTAGTTCAATACTGGGGCTTCTGAGGTGTGTTTACCGCGTTTGTCGGCTACACTTTCGAGCACTGACGTTCTGCGATGCTGCCCTTAACGGTTTCAACCGACCCGTCTTGAAACACGGACCAAGGAGTCTAACATATGTGCGAGTATGCGGGCTGTAACCCTGTATGCACAATGAAAGTGAGAGTAGGGAGAGGTTTGCTTATGGTATTCCTCGCACCTACGACCGACCACGATCTTTGTGAGAGGTTTGAGTTGTAGCACATCTGTTAGGACCCGAAAGATGGTGAACTATGCCTGAGTAGGGTGAAGTCAGGCGAAAGGGCTTGTATTGCTCTCCAGCATGGCACTTTGTGTTTCTAGGTCTCATCAGCGACGTTGACTTAGGTTTTGTTGCCACCGCATAGACACAGACCCCTTCGCTATCGATAGGTGTCTGCGTAGTATTTAGATGGTTTCCAAGCTTATGCGTTGTGGCTTTTTATTGAAAATTGAAAGACGACGGAAACGTTTGGAAAAATGCGAGCGAAGTTGATTAGTGTCTTTCAATTTTCTTCTATCAGCAGAAAATCTTAGCCCGTAGAGGATTTGCCTTGAAGGTGTCGTCGGACGGCAACGAGAGGAAGCGGCAGTATGACAGGCTAGTACTTTCTGAGAGAGAACACAACCATGTTCAGATTAGCTTTGCCTGTAAGATTCTCTTTTTGTTTCAATGCGGCTCCTGAGTACATGCGATCCGCTTTTGCGTTTAGGGTTCACCTGCGCTTTTCTCGGAGCAATTCGCAGGACGCCCGGCTTCCAGGCAGAGTTCTCCCAAGCAACGGGCGAAATGAACATGTCAGTTAATGATGCGATTCGTGTAAGACTGTAAAACAGGAGCAAACTATCTTGTTCTCTCAATGAATCATCATAATTTCTCTTAGATGCCGCCTGCTCCTTGGAGGCGCATGCATCCCCTGTTTTTTCTTGGAGCCTATTGTACTGAACGTTTTCTAAGCAGTTTTATACTGTTTGTGGAGACAATTTTACACAATATTGGGGTAGCTAGAGTGGTGGAGCGCGTGTGCACCTTTTGTGCTAATGGCGCTTGTGTGGACCCCACAACATTCGAGGATGTAACATGCTTGACAAATGCAAACCATTCAATTGTCGTTGATTAGGCTTGCATTTTTTACCATACTAACAAGTTGATGCCTTGAGACGGGAACACTTTCGACCCTCATTAGATTTGTTATACTCACAACACCAGGTGAATTGTCTCTAAACTCGTATGCCTTCAGTCAGTACTGCAAATGCCGTCAGATGTGGCTCAGTACCCTCTTGCGGCATCTGTGCCGCTCATCTGTGGAGCATGCGCGGCTCTTTCTATCGTTGTGTTTTGTGTTCTCCAAATAGTCCTCCACCTAAGAAGCAACAGCGAACTGACTATGCTACACAGGGTGCATAACTGTTTGCGCGTTCTGGTAATTGCTCAGAGCGTCTTTACAGTTGCAGCTGTTGTAATTTTATCAGTTGGCACTACTGCCACAGGCCATGGCTCTGCGACGTTCGCCAGCCTTATCGCTAAACGTCAGGCTGCAAACGTCTTGAAAGCGTCTGGTGCTATTCTTGTCGCTGGATACTCATATTTTGCAACTGAGCATCAAGCGTTTAGGTGGATAGCGCTACTAGGTTCAGCGATAATGTCCGGGGTGGATGCTGTGGATATGGCAAGCGTTGGGCATCTAATTGGAGTGTTGCGTGCAAGCAAAGGTGGCCTTACTGGCGAAGATGACTCAGCTCGAGAGCTAGCTCTGTGGGGAATGAATGTTCAATATGCATCAAAGGTATTCTCGTTCTTTTCATGGTTCCTGGTGATACAAATCATTGGGTGTTTAATGCACGCATTGGGATGGTTTCACCTAAATGAGCTTCCAAATGATGAGGAGGTAGCAGGGCACTTGAAGGAACTGGCACGAGCCACGATCAACAGGCGTATCCAGGAGAAGCGAAATCCTGAGAGGTTCGCAGCAGGTGGCGGAAGGCACCTTTTCAACCCAGCAGACAAACTGGAGGTAACATGGGACCAAATGGTAGATCTGGCGGTTGGGCGAGATAATCGCACAAGCCACCCTATCTCCACGAATCCCAGGGGTGTAATAGCCCCGGAGGTCCAAAGGGAACTATGCCAGATCCTCCTCAAGATGGGTGTAAAACGAAGCCAAATCTATGAGGTGCTTGACGACGAAGACGATTCTTGACCAAGGAATGCAACGATATCACGCAGCAAGAAAACGCTTGCTTATCCTGATTGCTCGACAGTCGGAAATTATTTTTTTGTCAAGGCGTCGTAAATTCTAAAGGCGGTCAGCAATAATTCAGTACCGTGACCCTCAGCTGCAGCAAATAGCCCGTGCCTCTTTCGGTCAGGGGTCTTAGAGACCAGTAAGCGCCCAGATATCCCATTTCACAAAGAAAGCTCACTTCTTTTTTAAGCAGGCTTTTCGTTCGGCAAACACCGAAGGTGTCAAGACCTCCGTGAGATTTCGAGAAGTCAGAACGTTTCCAATTAACTTCTCTAGAGCAATAATTTACACGCGTACCTTCACGTATTCTTACTCACAGCAGTCCCCTTTGCTGGTGCTTCCAGGGAAAGAAAATCCGCTCAGAAGAAATTACAGCACCCTCGGCGTCGTGTCTGTCCGCACAGGCTACACCAGCATGTGCATTTTCAAGCGGCCAAAATCTTGCATATTATGTTAGCACATTGCAGCCTTGAACGTGCTGCAGGCCAGATATTAACAATGCCATGCAAACTTGCAGCAGGGTGCATTCTAGTGCATTAAGCCCCTCTTCTCCCTGTCCAACCAACACGCAAGGAGTCGCATGCCCGTCAGCATATGAGGGGGATGAATGACGGACACAACTCTGCAGGAAGTAAGCTAAAGGGGAAAGTGCTGAACAACGAAGAGAAAGAAAACATAAGTAGGGGTAGGCCACAGGGACTAGTGCCGCATGCAGCTGCTGCTGCGCTATGGTGGCAGGAGAAGCATCCCAGAGCTTTGGCTGAAGGTATTCACTAGGCCTTCTTCACAAGCTCAAGGGGAAAGTATCAGGGAGATGCCACAAAGCCATGATCTAGAAGATTGAGACCCCAGAAGTAGCACCTAACGGTTTATTTGTGCCGGCCGAAGGACGAATGCATTGTGAACGGTGTATGCAGTGTCAGCTCCTCCACGCAGCACGATTGGCACAAGAGTGCAGCCGGCTGTGGTGCCCTCTTAGAGTGTCAGGCATGCCCCTGGCATTCCTGAACTCTGCAGGGGACGCGTGCTGTTACGAGACAAAATCCAATCTTTTTAGTTCCTGTTCATGTTTGCTTTGCTTTGTTGTGTCAACTGCTTGCGAATCTTGGATGTCCTCGTTCGATATGATCCTACTAGCTCTACATAAAAACCTGCTACTGGAATTTTACTTCTCATCCTTAAAAGGACGCTCACCGCAGGTGCATGCTTCGGCTTAACGCATTAGATATCTTATTCACAGCCTTCGCCGGCCTGGTGCAGGATATTCTAATTAGTGTGCGCCCGAAGCTGAGCAGACGCATTTGCGACAACGGAAGGCCTATGTAGTCTAGTTTGCGACTACGGGTTTAGAAATCAGTTGTATCTGCTGTCAATGCTGAAACGAATCAAATAGTGCACTTGTCCAAAGCGAGCAGACGCGTAACACAAAGAAACTAGTTGACCTGACTAAATAACTTGGCAGCCATTTTTTTCAGCCTTATATCCTGGTTTGGGCCACAAGCATAGGATGAGCTTGGAGCCCTGCTTACTCTTAGCTTGCCACTATCTAGAACATTCTTGTTAATTTCTTTTCCGTTGGACACTAAGATGGTTCAGTTGACAAGTATAAGGTATATTCCTGTTGAGAAAACTTTAGTAGCAATTTTCCCGCCTTCTTCGCAGTTCCCTTGCCAATGCAAGGGAACTGCGCAGAAGGCGGGAAAATTGAAAACAGCGACACACCTGCTATCTGCTCAGCTGGGTGCGCAAAAAGGTTCCAGTTGCCTCTCTGAATGTTTGTGCATGCTGCTACTCCCGCTTCCACGGATGAGGCTATCATTGCACCTGCTGTTCTGCTGCGAGTCCTGCTATGCTCAGTAATGAGGCCCTGGTGAAGCACTACAGCATTAACAGGGATGTTTTGTTGTGTCCGACAAAGCGTAGACTACACCGATTATACCTTCCAACTTCGCTTCGGGGAGGTTTCTTCTGCAAAATGAGAGATTATGCTCTAGTGGGTCATGAATGGGTGAATACAAAAGTGGGGAAAGTGGTGAGGTCCCTCTGGTGGCCTAGGAAACCCACTAAAAGCCGGAATACCTCACCACGTGTCAGGGATCTCAACAGCAAAACCCTTTGATCACACTCAAACCCGGACCATAGAATACCCTTCCGATTCTTGAACTGTTCCATATAGATGTCTAAATGAATTTCAGTGTAGATCTATCGTTAGTAGAATTTTGCGATGGCTTCTAAGACGTGACCGATATAATTTATAGATTTCCCAAGCATCACCACTAGCATGAACCCGAATTTCTTTACTGCCTTCCGGCGCAAAATTCGCCAGGCGGTTTTGTTTGAGTCCACAGTAGGTGAGAATGTATATTTACAGGCAACCCTTGGATCGTCGTCAGCAATTGCCAGCAGGGTAGAGCACACCACCAAGGCCTACGGTTGGGCCTTCTCGTCTCGTACTTCGAAAAGCATATTGTCGGACGAGACAACCAACCCATCGGCCTTCTCTCGTATGCTTCTAGAAACATGCGGCTGTGCTCCACGATCAGATATTGATCTTCAATAATGCACAGCTGATCTTTATCGATTGCAGTACCAGAACAAGCCCCACTGCGTGCCACGCGCTTCGGTCAGCTGAAGAATCTTAAGCCTTCCATTGGTTATGTGAACTGCTTCTAATCAAGATTGTTGTTAGCATAATTGGAGAAAAAACGAGATGAAGGCGCTTCACCAAGGAATCAGCATGCGCTGGGCTGATCACTGCTCTCGTTGCCCGAGGGGCTTGAGATCGCCACTCTAAATGGTGCTGTTGCTCGGAAACAAAAAGTATGCATTCTCATAGTCCATTAGTTGTAGTTAGAAGTACATGCTCTTTAATTTTTGTCTTTTCTAGGGTTTTGCTTCACGACGTGCCTTTTCAGATTCCAGCTCGATTCCTAGCTACATGTATACGTTGGCAAGCCTCCAACAAGCTGGCTTGGGCGACACCAGGATAATCGTTTATATCTGTCTTCAAGTAAGAGACTGTGTGCATTGTCGTGTATGCCAGTTCTGTAGAATAAATTCCTATACACGCTTTTCACCAGTGTCTAAGATTATCAAACACGAAATAGTAAGTTCTTATGCTCGTTTCCAACTCCTCCAGAGATGGCTGATACTAAGCACCGAAGGCCCGAACAGGACACTGTTGTCCAGGGTAATTTTAGAGTGCCCAAGCTAAGTGAATGCGTCGAAAAACATCTGGATGACATGGGGATCTTAGAAAAAAACAAGGCAAGCTTACTGATTCATGTGGGAAGCTTCACATCGTGGGGTCCCCGTCACACACTCTGTATTGGTGTACACGTGTTCCTGGCTTAAAAAGGGAAGGCTAACGCCAGCATTTCACGGTCTTCCTCCACGGCGTACCTGCATAGCGGGACGTAGGAGACCTTGGAGGCAGCAAGCAAAAGCTTTTCGGAGGCTGTCTGCAACACATCCCAAGCTATAGTCCTTCTTCCAATTAGTTACAAAAAAGGCTAGTTCCTGCCTTTTCTCAGGTTGGGAAACCTGAAGTCCAGGAAATTTCATCTTCCATTGAGCAGAATGAGTTAACACTTACAAGCACCGCACGAGACAAAGAAGCAGAGATATGCAAGAGGCCCCCCAAGCCCACAAAGGGAGACATTGCCGGTTTGCAAGAGCTGAATTCGTTTACCAAGACAGTAAATCAAACAATGCAAAGCTATCAGGTGGGTCAAAGTTTTCGAGTAATGGGATGCGCTGAAGGAACCGGTAGACCTGCATAGGAATAGCAATGTAGTACCCCGTGTTGAAATTCGGCAAAAGCATGATATGTACACAGCGTATTTGTTGTACTCGGCTTCTGGCAGTTTTGCCTCTTCACGGGTAGGCTCTGTTTATAGGCGGAGCAGTCGCAGCCGGTAGTGAAGGTGGAACAACTGCTGTCCAGCTTACGGAAACGCTTTGACGACGTCCACGCTGAAGTTAAGAAGCGGACCGAAGAGGTTGCCCGTTATAAAGTAGGAACAGGCTCCCATGATTCAGAGATAATTTACTAAACAAAGAAATTATACCACCCTAAAAGCATATGCCGAAGCTACGCAGGCCAATTGATAAGCTGCGGTGTTGTGTTTGTGCCAGCTCTGTGACTGCTCAGGAAGGCATTCGGCAGGCAGACTCTGCTGAACACCAAGTCACAAACGATAGGGCTCGCATACACCAGGTCAAGCAAACGCTAGACTACGATACTGACCCTCAGTATGCATCCCAGTTATCTGTCTGCAGCTCAAACAAAGATGTACAATGATTCTTGTAACTCAGCGTGCTGAGGAATTGACGCAATCCCTCTCATCGCTCAACAAAAAGGTTGCGGAAGCTGGGTACACAAAGAAGGTTTACATGCACATTCTTGAAAGGACAAAGGTATCCCTCAATTACAAAAATGTGGCTTCAAATGTTGGCCGCCTGCAATCATTTGCTCCTTCTGCATTCGTCCGCTTCCTCACATGGCATTTCCCTCCTTGCCTCTTGTGCTGCGCTTTTTAAGCTTGAGAAGGATGCCGTCCGACAAAAAAACTTGATGTTACAGAGCAGATTGAAATCCTTAGGTCTTGAACTCAAAGAAGAGCGTGGAGCTCTAGAGTAAGCCCCCAGTTACACTATGCATTGAAAACTTCAGCTGTGTCAAGGGTCTATCCAGTTAGTGCCGATGTTCCTGCCGTAAACCGCAGTCAACCATGCCGTTACAAGACATCCGTATACCTATGCCCAGGAAGCAACAGAAAAAGAAAATCAGAGCTGTTTCTGAACTCAAGCAGCTGGAACAGGTTAGTCCGCATAAGGTGCCGGGCACCGAAGACCCTAGCGCGACTACCTTATATTCGTGGTAGCAAAAACAAGCAGTACAGTTGTTCTGCTCTCATGATAGGAACTACAAGGAGAAAGAATCATACGCAATCAAGGGCTCAAAGAAATTGACGAAGCGATTGAGTATAAAAGGGCTGCAATAGAGAAGAGGCACGTGGTAATCTAGGCCTAATAACAATCTGTGAATACCTTCTTTACTTCAGAATACTTCAGCACCTGTATCGCAAGCGGTTCGAGATATATGATTTCTAAAAGGGTTCCACATCGCCAATTGTCATGGCAGTTGACGACAGTTAAAAGAAAGGCAATAACACTGCAAGAGCTACTGACGAAGTGCCCATGCTGTAGAGGGCGGTTATTTGCACTGCTCCACAGGCAGCGGCTTGTTGAATGGCAACAGTCAGTAGTCAATGACGCAGCTGCTGCTGCGCTTTCCGCTTCTTCTGGGAAGTGGAGAAGAATGCTTTGCGTTGAGAAGCTGATAGCAAATTCCTTGCAAAAGACAAGTGTTGAGAATGTGGAAAAGTGGCAGTACAAGGAGGACACCTTTCAAAAAATTCGGGAGGCAACTGTGAGATTTTATGATAGCGCGCGATTCAAAAAATACGGATGTTGTGCCCTTTGAACGGCTGCTATTGGGTGAGTAGCTGCCTGACGTCTCTAGCACAAATTCATACCCGTGTAGAGACTTTAGAATTTGGGGTTTCCTTCTTCCTAGGGAATGGCTGACGTGATGGAAATCGTCAACAAATTTTTGAACCGAGATGTAGAGAACCAGAAGCTCAAACTTTTGGCGGAAGAAGCAGAAAAGAAACTTGAGGTAACAAACAGGGGCAAACACCTAAGAAAGAAAAGATATCCATCAACTCCAGCCGAAGAAGAATCTTTGAGAATATGCGTATTTGGACTGTAGCTACAGCGCTTTAGTTATGCAGGCATATATCCCCTGCCCAGCCATATTGTGCTTTAACTACCAGCTTGCAATTTGCGTGTGAAAAAGTGCAGAAATCTAGAAGGGAATATCAAGAGGCTGTCCGGCGAGCAGTGGAAGAGCTGGATCTAACCAATTGCACCCATATACGGAATCTCTATGATGTAACACTAGGGCATTCATCTTCATATTAATATGATACAGCAGCTAGCAACCATGATAAAGTTGTAGCTGGAAGAATAGGAGCACACAGATGGATGCTTAGCTGCGCCGTATCATGCAACGTGGGCACCAACTGTAGTACAGCTTAGTAGGGAAGGTGGCTGGTGGTTCATATTGCCTCCGGTGTCAAGGGCTTTTGTTGGGACTGCCAACACTTCACGAAGATGGGTCGAGTAGCCGTGTGCCATGCTGAGGACGTTTCAGGCTCTCGATGCACAGTCACAATCCTGGAACAAAACATTTCACGACCATGCAGCCCGGTGCGTTCACAATCACCCGTGGTACCTGGAAGGTTCGTAAATCCCGTCATTGAAGGCTCATAGAGATATTACCTTTTGGAGAGACAGAATATACTATTTATCGTGTTGCGCTAAACTCTGCTTGCAGATACAAACTTTTGAAGCGCTGTTTAGGAGATGTCGACCAGGCTAGACGATGCGCTGCTAGCATTAACGCTAGACTTGTGAAACTTGGCATCGAGGTGGGTTTGTCCATAAGCAGTTAGATGTTAGGTATTGTGTAAGCGTATTCTGGAATGCTACGTTCTCAGCGGAGCTATTTTCCGGTGCTACGGAGCTCAGGATCTATGGGATTTTAGTGCGGAATCGTCCCTAGAACATTACTTTCAGAATCTCCGAGAAAAAAGCATACCAAAATTAATAGGTTTTCACGACAGTATTAGGAATATCAGGAATTGTATCGGAAGAGATGATAATATGGAGGCACATGACAGGTGTGCACTGATCATTCAACCTCCGGCTAATGACACGGAGTGTCACCAGGAAGGTAAGCGCTGAGCACCCAAAGTGCAGTCCCTTTGGGCTGTCGTGCTTGGTGAGGCCTCAAAAGAACAGACGGCCATTGTCTGTTTGCGCTCCCCTGCTTACGTTATTACATTTAACACAGGAATGGTCTAACGTTTTGAAACGTGGTTCCTAAAACCAAGCAGTCCGTGCCATCTGCACGAAGACCTGGCAACCCAACCCGCCCCAAACGCTTACGAGCCGGCTTTTAACAGCCCTATAAAGCATACCCTGCCTACTTTAATTGTATAGTCTTAGGCTTGCCATGGGTTCTTGTCGCATGGTGTATGCTTCCGAGACTCCGGGGAAGTCTCCTAGTCACCCTATGGCTGAAAACATGAAAGATGGGATCCTGTCGGTTTGCCCCTTTTAGCGTTGGGGATCACAGTGGGATAGTCTTCCCCAAACCACATGTGCTGCTTACGGACCATCCGCAGTGTACCTAATGGTGGTTCGCTGAACGCTGCTGTTGATGTGGGAGCAACAGACTGTGCGTAATTCAGTTCCGTTGCCATATACTTGACACTGCACGGATGCCAACCCTTCAACAGCTTCACCAAGGAAATCAATGATCGTAGCAAAAGTTACAAGATTGTTTTTTAAAGCAAACGAAGTCTCGGAAGTCGCAAGGCTTTGTAAATATTATGGTTAACCTAGGCTTCCATATGTCCAGGTTTCACATTGCACGAAATGCGAGCTGTCCAGCGCCAACTAAGCTGGCGCGAGTGTAGACCGCAGGCATTTTCTTTTAATATTTAAAGATTCTCGAAGGAGCTGACAACTTCACCTCGACATGCGGATTCGACGAACTCGAACGATAGTATGTTTACTACGTTTCGCCGGTTACGTCTCTCCCTGGCTGTCCCGCAGACCCGTCAGGGTCAAAACGCAACCCGAAGCACAATACACTAGCTCTCTCGAACATTACTGTTGGGAATTGTTTTTCACTAGCAACAACCATGAATTAAAGTGGCAACACGAACAAATATTGTTTTCTTTTCAATTATAGTTGGAGCATTCCCAGCTAACCACGTTGGCCTGCTCGTGTGGGGTGAGGGGGCACAACAACCGGTGGAAGTCATAGGTAACTGATTGCGGATCTGAGGTTCCGGAACTATACTGCAGTTCCCTGGAGACTTTCCAACCGCTGTCATGCTTACCGATTAAGAAGCCACTTAACATTAGTGCCTTCTATGAAATATCAGTGTGGCGTATAGCATCGCCCGACAAATGTTTACGGAAGCTGGCACGAGATCGCAAATGCTCCTGACTTCATTGCACCATCAAATGGCTAGAATAAAGATCTCATAGAAATGCAATACTACCAGTAAGGTGTCGCTTTAATGTAGCTGACCAACGTTTAACATTCCCCAGCAGCAAGAAAGATGGAGTTCCCAGTGTGGGGCTGGCATTGCATGCACGCGGGGGGGATCAACGACTTAGAACCTAATCCCACGCGATACTCCCCGTTCTCCAGCGGTTGCTAAAGTTTTTCTAAGGGCATAAGCGCTTTTATAGCTTTTGAGGAGAGCCACGTTAGCGTCGGAAAGTCCCAATGCAGTCGGCAGATTCGTCACCAGCTACCGAAATTTGGCTCTGAAAGGAGTGTAAGCAAGCGCTGTAATGACATTCCGCCTTAAAAACAGTAACGCTACACCGTCCGTATTAGCCGGAGCAAAAGCTGGGAAATCTTGATCCACGAGCCAGCTTCATGCTTGTCGCCTTCACTAACTGCAAGAACTTCCCTGTGGCAAGTGTGAAAATAACTGCAGAAGTGTGGCAGCTTAAAAGTAGATTCCCAAGCAAGGTACAAAGAACGGGAGCCAATGCATTGCGGAAATGCGTGCAAGAATATCCGCACATCGTATTGCTTGTCGGATGTCTAGGCACATGAGGTATCTTCTCTAACAGAAAAAGGACGTATTAATGAAAGTACAGCATCACTACAGCAAGATCGCTTGGCCACTTGTGCAGAGTTTAGTGAAAAAACACGATTGCTTCAATGTTGGAACAGTCAATTCGTGCACCAGCATTAAAATAACCACCTTTCTCTCATCGGCTTAAGACTTAAGGCAAACTCTGCCCCACAAAACCCCTACCGCTATGTATGTTGATTGCTAACAAAAAGGCACCCTTCGAAGGAGCTGCGTGCACATAGCCCGGTGCAACAGCATGTCGCCAACTGAGCTGTTTTCATTAAATCAATTTTCCCTGGCGAGCTCCTTGGTATCTTTCTGATACGGTCACGTTGTTGAGCTTGCAGTTCAGCAGCCGTCGAGCAAGTGGAGTACCCCTGCAACAATGCATTGGCTCTGTGACGGATAACCCAACTTTCACGGACCAAGTGCTCTCTAAAAGCAGGCAAGGCGGTGCAGCTTACCCTCCAGTGCCTGTAATATAATGGAGGGCAGCTGCCTAGAAGAGAATGCCGCTGCATGCGGGACTTACTATATCCACTCGCTGGTAGCCCCTTGGAGTGCTAGGTGAGTCAGAGCCATCCAGCAGCCTGTAATAGGCCATTTATCAACAGTGTTGGCAAAGGATTATTCCGAAAAACGTTGAGTGCTGATCGAAGGTATATCAGTCTTTCTTTCGATAAGTATGGCTTCCCCCGTACATATATGGAAAGAATAGCAGACCGTGTGTAGACGCCCAGTTGCTTATCCATGACTTCGTGAGCTGTGAACGACCAACCAGCATATACAACCCCGGTTCGTTTCCATGCAGTTGCGGAGAAACGTTGCACTTGCTAAACGCTTGCTAATGGACATATCCATTAGAAAACGCATTCTAGTAGATATATCGCCTTCTCCGCTGAGTTTATGAAATCGTCCTCGTACTCTACCATATAAGTATCGCAATCAATATCTTCTCCCTCAGGTATCTTCACCGGACTGAATATCGCGGCACTGACTCTTGTACAGGGGACCACCTGTAAGGGCTAAATATGTTTTTTCGTGTGCTGACAGAGATACTTTCAAAGTAACCACATTTTACCTTAGCATTGAATCCCTCATTTAGCCATTCGAACCGGTAAAGCACTGGTGCTGGCCCGTCAATGTGTATGTGCTCTGACCACCCAAACGCCTTAACGGTAGGCATGCAGTCTCGCAGTATCAATTTTCTCCTAGTGGATCACTGTGCAAACGTCCTGAGCACATTGGCAATAATCATTAACAGCTTGGTGATTCGAATCATCTGCAGAGCTACAACTACGCATCCCACTCAGGTTTGACGTCACATTCTGCAAACTCACACCCGAAAAGCCAGTGGCAGAAGTGGAAGCCACCGTTCACTTCGCCCTTTCGCCTAAGCTGATTGAAGATTTGCAAAACCATGAGAGCCAGCGCCAGCCGTAAGATTATGCCGCGAAACGCTTTGAAATGTGCAAAATGGGCTGCGAGATTTTTCATATCTCGACAAACAAACGGCGTTGAGGGTGCATTATTGTAGAATGCCAATACCAACTACCGGCAATTTGTTAGCTCTCTGTATGAGTGAACAGGCCGAAACCAGAAGGGCGAGTTTCCTTCCGTTTTGAAGGTGAACAACTAGTTCACACATTTTCCAGGACACTGTTACCTTCAAAGTTTGAGTTCTGGCTTGACAGGTACAAATGATGCACGGTATACTTCTAATGAAGCTGCCGCCTGATCAATGACGTCTATGTGCTGCCAAGGAAAATAAGTTTTACAATACAACCTTTGTCCTCCAAGCTAAGGCACCCGTACACAACGTGATATCTGAAACGTTCGCTTGCAGGATTTTGAAAAACAAACGCGAGTTTAGGCGCTTTGTGAAGCTCCAGACACCGTAAGGAACTACGCACTGCAGCCAACAATACGAGTAGGTCACTAACCCAGTGATATGATTTTTATCAGGCTTAGCAGCTGACACATTTTTTGCAGCTTCGAGAAGACCCGCATGGATGCTCGCCTTCAACAATGTGAAATACTGCTGCTAGAGCAAAAGACCGTCCTAAAGCAACAGGAGAAGGAACACCAAAATGCTATACTACAACGTAGAAAAGTAGTCAAGTGGGAAGGCACCCAAAAAGGTATAACCCAACTTGGAGAGGCTCAAGACCCGCAAAATGTGCTGACCCCTCGTATGAGCTTCGAACAGCAACTGACAGATGATATGCTCAAGCGACTGTTAGAGAAGGTTTTCAGTGCAGCTGACGAAGAGAATGCAGGCAAGCATATGACTGCCATATACATTGTAAAGAGCTTTAGCATTTTATTCAGACTAGTTTAACTGCCTGTCATACCGCCGCAACTGGGCCTGTGGTGGGTTGTTTCTAAAATTGTTTCATACTGGTTCAGGCCGCCTGCAGCATCGTGAGGTTGCAGCGTTGCTTTTTGCTTGTCCCTTGGGGCTCACAAGGTGGGAGTTCGTTCAGCTTCTCGCCGGTGCTCAAGAACACCCTGAAGGGTGGATTGAGTATGGGCCTTTTCTAGAGGTTGGTTGTGTTCATCGTCCAACAGGGAGCAGTATGGCGTGGAGCCATGTCTGTTACAAAGTTGCTTCAGCGCGTGGTCTTTGGGCATGTGGAAGCAATACAGCAATAGTTTTGGCTTGACGAATCCTAGCTCGCAAGCACTCTGGTAGCATTTGTCTCTTCCTCTTCATTGTGGTGTTATGTCCTCAAGAAAATTCCCAAGCTACTCGATATGCTGAGGGCCAGGAGGGAAAAAGCTCGGCAACGGTCAGACGTAAATCCGCTTAAAATGTCGCGTAAAGGTTTTCCTTGGTGCAGATTGAAGGTTATCCATCTCATCGCACCTCACTGAACACTATTTCGTCTAATATGAACGCTGCAGGAATGTGAAACGAAGAGCAACAGCAGATGCAATGGTGCTCCTCTTTCGTGAAGAGCTAGATGAGACGTTTAGGTATGCGCTTTGCCTGACGCCTTGTACTCTTTGGAAGCAGGTGCATACCAAACGGCAGTTGCAATGACTGCGCTCCATAATGTTCCCTCTGCCACCTGCAGGGCGACTCGAGAGCTGCTTGAAGGAATGGGAAGTCACGTGACCTCAACAGGTGCTCACCTCAGTTTTCCGCTATTTGCTGCTAAGCTCGGGTCACCTACATTTCCAGAAACATATCCTCCTGTGGTTATTGGGGTGTTCGTGTGCGCTGTTCGTTCTCAAGGCTTGGTAAAACGGCAAGAGTTGTTTACTGCTATGCAGCGCACTGACAAGTACGGGATTCCTCTGTGCTGCCAAGAACGAGCTTCAGTAACTTTCGCCAACTAGCAGAAAATGTTTTGGAAAAGGATTCTTTGAACTGAGTACACACAGCCAAGCCTTATCTGTGATCCTGTTCAACAAAACTGGTTTTAAGGTATTCTAGGCAAGACATGGCTTTCGTAATGCAAACAATTCCAGGAAACGATTTGGGAGAGGTCGAGTATGAAGCGTTGCCAACTCTACTTCACGTCCTGAGGTGCTTCTAAAACAAGATCTAGAAGTTTCAAATAGGGCAACAAATATGTTAAAACTGGTCGGAAGTATTCCAATGAGTGCCGTAATATTCTGCGCCACAGGAAAGAAAGTATTAACAACGCTGTCCTTGAAGTGGACACTGATGCCATCGAAGCTGAGCTCACTACGACTGCACTCGAAGTGTGAGATTGCGTCAAGCTCTACGCTGGATCCCCCTCTATGTACTGCGCATACTGTCAGAAAATCTGTAAAGCACAAACCGGTACCTTGTACAGCCCTTTAGTGCCATATGCTAAGAAGGCCTGCAGGTTTTTGCAGAACACAAAGACTATGCTTCGTGAGAGCACCTTGAATTTGCGTTTGCTTCAGTTTCACGTGTGTCTTTTCTGATTTCTTCAGAACTGTTCATTTCCTTCAACAGCAGTGCCGCAGACTACTTGGCGCCGCCAACTGACAGTTAAGGGCAGATCGAGGTTTTAGGCCGATAAATGAAATATACTTCAGCTGCCTCATCTCTTTGAAGGAGATGAGAATCTGCCCTGTTTTATGAATTTGTCGCAGATGGGAATTACTCCTGATGGGCCTGTGCCTATATGGACACTGAGAGAAGTGCTGGACAACAGCGGCCTGTGCCTATCCAAAATGCACATTCATGTCCGTCACTTGCACTTTCCCACGTTCCAAACCGCAGTGGCAGCTGCGATCCGAAGGGGGCTCATAACCTTACAGAAAGATTTCGCTGAGAATATTCACCTGAAATGAGATGCTGCAGGTTCTTCTCTGCTTGTCCTCTATGAATCGACAAGGACAAGTGGTTTGGGAAGAATTTGTTTCGGTTAGAAACACTTGTGGGAACGCTCACTGTTCAGTGGTGATTGAGCCCAAGGCAGTTGAAGTTACAAAACGGCATCGACAGATTTCACGTCCACAAAATAAGAGGACGAGTGTTGCACCTATACTTTGTACACTTTGTTGCTGACAACTAGTGGGGGTCTATGCTGCATTTACTGTCTGTGCTGTGATAGTACCCGGCATTCCTGCAGGTTGTACAACGTGTTTTGCCACCCCTGTTCGACAGTGATTCTTTGATGGAAACAGGCAGGTTTTGTCCCCTTTTACATGCAAGTAGCAAGGTAGACGCAAATTGGCAACAGACGTGGGCTGCTGCAATTGACACATAGACATGCAAGAGATTCCTTCAGCAGCTAGGGGTGCTTTTTCTATGCAGCCGATCAAATTAGCAAAATGATGGCTGACGCCGAGGCGCAAGCCGAATTCGAGGAGTTGCGTGGGCTTTCAGTTCGAGACCCTAAGCAGAAACAACGAGCTAGCCTAGCAGCGCGCCGTCGTAGCAAACTGAGATCCACTTCGCACGCTCAGCTGCAACTTCAGGCAGACGAGGGGGACCAGGTAAAAACTGCAGCCTTTCTGGTGGCCAACTGAATGCGCGAACAAATCTACCTAGAGCAAAACTTGCTGTGGTTGCATTTCAGGGGGAGTTACCAGACCGTGAAAGCGTAGAAAAGACACTTGTGCACCTATTCACGGTTCTCGACGACAGACGGAAGGGTATGGCTCCTACGGATTCATCCAAAGTAGCCCATGTTTCGTTGCATGGTTTACTATTCCCAGCTCACACAAGTGCAAATGTGGTGCAGGATCAGTGCCGGCTCAAGTGTTCGTAAGTGTTATGCACTATTGGTCAGCCCGCAACGGAACTAACTCTACACCGGCAGAGGCTGGCAATCCGTTGCCTTTGAATTCGGCTAGTTCTTCCAGCGGAGGTGCTGCCTTGGCGGCGGAACGGAGATACGCCGACATAGTGATGAGCTGCCGATTGACCCCGGCTGAAGTCACAGGGTTTGTTGCAGAAGCAAAGGTCGACCCACTTGTACAAGAAATAAGCTATACTGAGCACATCAAAGCTTGGGTTGCGACAATATTTGAAATCAGGTCATAGGAAGCAATATCCTCATATACACCCTCAGTGTTAGCATTAACTACGATGCCAAGTCCTTATTGACTGTTTGGCACGCAGAGCATATCAGTTGGCTGCTAATTGTGAAGGCGCCGTAGGGACGGAGCATGTGGCATGCTTATACTGTTTCAGGAGATCGCACTTCTGGTACAGTGTGAGTCACAACTTGCTGGATGAAGGGACAGTGGTCAAGTAAAGTTGGAGGCGTAACAGGATGAAGTGACACTTTCACTCTATACCTTCTTGCATTGGCACCACTGATCAGGCTGTCGAACATGTATAGCGACCAACACGTCGAACTGTATATGGCCTCACCAACGCCTGGTACTAAGTGGCCTCTAGTGGGTCTTTTCTATGTGTCAACGGGACAACTAGTTTCCGGCGAAATATGACCCAGTGTCATCAGCACTTCTTCTGTGACTACAACGCCGTAAAACCCACCATTTCTATAGCCAGATGGGTGGGCTGCAGGTTCCTCAGATCAGACACTGAACCTCCAGGTGTTTACAAACAAACCAAATTCCGCGCTGTGGAAAACCCCATGGAATGCATCATGGCGAATATCTGGCCTGCGTGCCCTGTAGTGCGGCTTTAGTCGTAGTAAGCAGTACGCTACAAGTGCTCCGTAGCTGAACCAGTACATCTTTATTTGCATTGCTTGGAGTTTAAACTATTCACAATAGAATGCTGTTAGTCACCAGTGATGCGAACTGCGATTTGATTACACATACTAGACGCGCCTTTTGCAATCGCAGAGGCAGGACCATTAAACATTGTTGCGTCTATTGGTTTCGAAAAGCAACGCTGCAGATTCACATGTAATTTAGTTAAAACGGGCATCGTTTGGCAGACGAAATGTAATATGTGCCTCAACATAACCGTTCAAGGTACAAGCATAACAATTCAAGTGTGAGCCAGAGCGGCCTCTACGTAGCCAGTGCCGTAGGTTCACGTTAGGAGCTGGAAAAGAGCGAATTGCTAAATCCCTCGGCTTGACATTGCTCCTTCGGCAGCTTCGGCTCTACAGTGACCGACAACTCGGGCGTTGGTGCGTATAGAAGGAAGTTTTGCACAAGACCGGGGTTGGTGCGTTCAGCTTGACTGTCTCCCTCCAGATCCTCCGCAGCAGTATGGCCGCCTTCAAACTGCTTCGCATATTTGCGCAAGAAAGAGACGACAGACTCAGGCGTCCTATCACTGAGGAAGCTGGCAAGGAACTATGGAAGATAGAATGATATAGTGGATGGGATATAGAGAGACGAACTTTACCACACATGCAGGCAACCAGAAGATGAAGTAGGCTTGCTTGCTGGATCTGTGTGTAACAGTGAAGTGCTATCAGGGCTATTGACTGCTGGTAATCCCACTATAGTGTGTTTTTCCGAATCTCCCTCACGATGAGAGGTCATCAATTCAAACAGTGTGCCGCATGCAGCGGCTCTTTGCCAAGTGGTTTGTCAAAATCATGGAGCAGGGGAACTCAAAGCAGTATTCAGTGCCTCGGTTGGCTCCTGGCACCTACTTCTTCTGTTATTCCCTCCTAATCAATTGCATGCACCTGTTAAGTACACCCTGCAAAAGGGGTTACCAGACCTAACCAAGGGATAAAGTTGCGAGAATGAGGAGCTTCTGAACATCCATGCAACTGATGACAAGAAACGAAAAAGGCCAAGGAGACTCAACCTTCTAACAATCTAGTTCTCCAAGTGCTGCAGGGGAGATAAACCATAGGAAATTAGTTGGCTTCAGATGCTGAAACCGCACCTCTCTTTAACTAGTGGAAAACGGATGAAAAATTCCATAACTGGATTTAAAGCATCTCATTGTGTCTACAACTGCCGGAGCATACACAAACACAAAGGGCATGCACAACTAACTACTGTGTCGGTGTGGGCATTGGGTCGGCAACGTCAATGGGTGAAGCAACGGGTCGGCGACGCCAATGAGTCAAAAGACAGTGGAAACATACAGGGTGTCAAATAATATGTCAAGCCGGATCATTGGAAAATTTTGCCTCTCTGCGGGCTTGTTCAGTGGGCTTGAATTCAGCGCACACCACGTCCCGCCATGTTCCTTCGCCATCCTCGACTGACGCCCTAAATCACTAGCTGTCAGTCTATCTTAACCGCTCCTCACCAGTTCGTTTGCTTACCAGTCCACAGTCGTCATATATGGATGGCTGGCAAAAGCGGAGGTCTTCTTCATCAATTGCTTTTGCTCACCTACAACATTTCCCACTGGAAAGGATGCAGGAATTGGGTCAACTCGACGATGTTCCCATCAGTAAGGCGCCCCTCCATCACCGGGCATATCCTGATCTATCGCCATTATGCAGAAGTCCTTGAGCGAAAATATTTGACAAAACTTCATTAAAATAAGCTATCCCCCCGTTCGAGCCTCTAGCCATCCTGAGGCAAGCAGTTCGAGCACCTGCAAAGGCTGGCCAGAAGGCGGCCTGGCATGAGTTGCAACGCCCCAACCCAATGTGGGAAACAGACCCGCGTGGAAGTAAAAACAAGCCTTCACGGCACAATATCCGGACACTCTATAGAGCTGTTGGTAACTTTTGTTTGTGTAACGTTTGACTACAAGCGTCTGGCAAGTTTTCATTTGCAAACTTCAAAGAGGCTTTCCAAAGTCATTATGTCCTCCTACCAGGGTGTAGCATCGTGCATGGCGATGTGAAGGCAGGCTCCAGCGGGTTGATGCTGCATCCAACAAGGAAACAAAACTCCCATTGGATAGGGAATATTCTTACAGAAACCAACCTTTCATGGGAATGAACAAACATCGTGCGCACGCGCACGCAGTACGAAGCATGTCATCTACAATTGCCCGAGCAGTGCTAGGAGTTAGTGGCTCAGAGAGATCATATGACTGTATGGCTACAAGCCAAGACCCATGGTCACTGGCTTCGATGAGCTTCAGATGTGCAGCGTAATAAAGTGTTACTACAAAGAGACTCCATGTTCTAACGACTGCTTGATGTGGCGATCAGTTGCTTCGGGTTACTGGGCGGGCGACACCACCATCGTTTCTCGTGGATACATTGTTAGCATTGAAACTGCACCTGTCAACAGATTTAAGTCCGATAAATGACGCATTACTGCGGTTTTAGCATATATTCACCTTAGGCCAATTCAAAAAAGCCTCAATTGAATATTGATGTTGGAGTTAGAGACGCCCCAAACTGAGGCCCCGCCGACCCCGGTGGAGCAGTTGACCTGTTCGCCTAATGGAGAGAAATTTGTGGATTCTAAGTATATCCAAATTCTGTTTTTGGTACAAGGTTTTCAGACTTACCATTTTCTGCCAGATACTTCTCACTATTTGCTCATTTCGTTGGGTCTCGGCTGCCAGGTGGGCCCCGCGGGAGGTGACTAGACATGCTTTTCCTTGTCGCCCTTTTGCATGGCAAGGTAGCAAAGAGTCGAGATAAAAAGACCTAGTTATGTTGGAAAAATATCGTGCGCTTACACTACAAAATGCCGTCGACGGGCAGACCATTGTAAATCTGATTATCGCTGGGAAATGATGCGCCATCATTACCTCCGGTCTTTGACGGCTAGTCTGTCCGCCTCTACTGGATCACGTTGTCTTGCTCCGCTGCCTGGAAAAAGTGGAAGTGGGGGTCTGGAGGCCGTTTTAGGGCTGCGTTTGCTGCACACCGGCAAAGCATGTGAAGTGGTTTCTCTTACCTATGATCACGCGGCGCAAACTGTAGGGACTCGGCTTCGTAAAACTCCATTAACAGTGTTTTGGCTTTGTGTGGGGTCGATTACTGCTGCTGGTGCCTTCGCCTGCCTACAGGACAGCCATCGCCACCAGGTCCAGCTAGACACCGGAGGAGCACACGCGCGTGCACAGTACACCAGTACTGTCCTGAGGAGCACTATCTTGTCAGGTGTTCTTAATTGCAAGGAGTGGTGGCTTTCTGACGTATCAACTGCTGTGTCCTCTTCGCCTGCTGTATTCCGTGGTGGTGCCCCAGCATTCTGTAAAGAATTGTCCAGGCAGCATATCCAACGTGAACAGCAGCACTTGCCTCAGCCTTTGAAACCGCAGCATATATTTGAAATGATGAAGCCCCTAGTGGTTCGGGTGTATGCGGTGCTCCGAACACAAACGCCTTCCGACCGAAGAACCCGCAAGCAGACAAAAGTAGAAGAGGACCAGGAGATGTTGCTTGAGAAGCTGCACTTTCTGGGTTCCGGTTTTTTCTTTGACGACCAGGGTGAGGCATTACCCTTCGATGAAGCACTGCGCACGTGAGGGCAGATCCATCTTGGGTTGGCTACACAGGCTGACTGTGCGCAACTGCGGAAACATCTTCAGGCCACATAGTAACTGCCGCTCATGTTGTCTTGGTAAGCTATACCCAGCTTTCTGAGAAGTTGTCCGCTCATATTACCATGGTTGCACTGGAAGCGAAGGCCTTCTTGAGGTCCTGTCGTCTCGCGGATCCATTTGTCCTATGTTTCTGACAGCGACGCAATGATCTGAAAATTGATGCCGTAGTCAGCCAAAACGCTCATGAATCGAAGGAGCGGCTGGTTAAAGGCGAATTCGTTTCGTTCCCACTTGCAATCAAGGACGCCTTCGGTCGGCTACATGCAGCGCACCTCTGCGGCCTGGATGAAAGTAAGATTTGTTGCATCAATTTGTCGCATCACGCCAACGTGGAATAATCGCAGAAGGCGGCTAGTCAAGATTCACGTGTGGGGGGTTTTTGCTTCTGCTGCAGCAACCGATGTGGCTGTGCTTCGGTTAGATGACCCTCTCGAGCAAAGGGACATGCCTCATGTGCGCGGAAGTGAGCTTCGCCCTGCCAAGAGATGGCACCGTCGAAAGAAAGACCTACAGCCAGCCAGTAGCACCATTTTGGTAGCATATTGGTCGACCGATTCTGTTTTAATTCACAGTAATGTGGTGGGGAACATTCACAATCACACACGAGATGGCTCCCATTTGTATGGTGCATTGGTATGCTACCTTCCGTTAAAAACAAAAGCCTAGGCAGCTTGCCAACTGTACTAAGGTAGCTAGGTTGCCTGTAAGAAGTAGCTCCGATTTGCTCACTCATTATCTCTTTATCCCATTCGTCGAATTCGTCTTTTCTGCGTAGAGTTTTCCGTCACACGTCCAGCGATGGGAGAGATAATTGCGGCATATGCTCCAATAGAGGTACGCGTGTCACGCCTGTAGCAATCACCTGCCTCAGTGTGAGGTACGCCTGTCAAGCCCTCCGCAATCACCTGCCGAAGTGTGACTATTGTTTCTAACTCATTCGTATTTAGATTTCCTTATCTCTCTATAGCAGCACCCTGTCTATGATTATTTTTTAGCACGCAGATGAACCAATAGGGGTGGCAGGCCAGGTGCTGCAGCCTCGCCAGACCTTCAGAGAGATGGATAACCCGGGAAGCATGAGTCTCTTACAATTACAGTTGCTAACCCTTCCTGGTGAGTGCCCTTCTGGGACTAGACATCATGCTCCAGTGATATGCCTTTAATCGCAGGCGTTTGATTATGTTGTGACTTGTTAAATGTCTGCAGGCATGTCGGGAGCGCCTGTTTTTAACATGGAAGGCTCTATCGTAGGGATGCTTGTCAAGAAATTCGACATCTGCGGGTGAGGCAGCGAATTCAAAGACCACATCGACTCAGCATCAACGTGCTCTCTAATGATAATGTCCAAGTGTTATTTTTACCAAAGCAACGGGCAGCCGTATGTTAGCAGCACAACATGGTGCTTGTGCACTTCTTATTCCGATAGCTTCTGCGTGCGTGCGTGCATCAGGCTTGCACTGCCGTCATCCCTCGTGCTTCGGGTCGCAGAATCTCTCAGAGATTCGGGCGAATTCAGAGTGCTATCTATTGGTAAGGCATAAATGCCGCTTTTGTCGTGTTCACACACGAATTTAGCCCTTCACATCCCCGCGGATTGCTAATTCGTGCGCATTTCTAACCCGAAGGCATGTACGAGGTGTCACGCAGGGGTGCTTGTCGAGGAAGAGACACCGAGCTTGTCTGCAGCGCATTCAAGTTCAACAGGTAAGGCTTACCTGGGAAAACCAACGGCTGCCGTGGATCACGGTTGTGCCCCATAGCACATTTACGGGATTCATGCCCATTGCTAGGGTCAGCAGCAATGATGTTTGCACTAACCATTCAATTGCGAATGTGCATGCAGAATCGGGGCTGAAGGTGTGCGGAGTTACCCCTGGCAGCCCTGCTGATGAAGCAGGCGTCCGCCAAGGGGACCGTATAATAAATGTTAAGGGAGAGGCGATTGATTCCATTGGGCGCGTGAGCCTCTCCTCCCCGTTCGCTGTTTCGCGCGTGTATAACGCAGAACACCATCGTGTTGGGCAACTTGTGACCCGCAAGGACTTTGGGGATGTGTCATATGCGTTCAGCTTCGAGAGGTCGTTCTGCTCCACAGGGGGGGGCCCCTGGAAATCACTGTGCAACGAGGCACACGAGCAAAGCGTTTATTGTTGGACCTCTGCACGTGAGGGGTCTCCACGGAAATCACGGTGCAACGAGCCACACTCGTAAGTCCTAGTTTTCTTGAACCCGCTAGCTCCGCCTAGTGTTTGTAAGGTAAGCAAGCATTATGCATCGCCGGCGCCCCAATGGATTACTGTGTGTCTGCAGAATAGAAGCAGCTTTATTGGGAGCATCAGAGTACACTATATATTCAGTTCGTTGAGATTGAGTGGGGCCAGCAACTCTCTGGCGTTTCATAGCACTTAGTGGCCTTACGTTTACTTACTGACAGTCACTATATGACGAGTCATATAACAGCTGTCAAATTGGCGCAACTGTCTCTTCGGGACAAAGTCAATTGCTACCAGTGCAGATCGGACTCCGTAGTGATCGTGGCTGCCACAACCATATGTGGAAGGTTGGCTTCCTTAATTTTTGAGTGTAGGGCTTATTTAGTGGAAAATGAATATCTATTTGTCTACCTTTCTGGCAAACACCAAGTACTTCCATAATATTTACTCCATCTCCAAAACTGCATGCTGCAGTTTCGAAGCGTTTATGAAGAACTTGAGAACCTACACTGCAGGAGGACTTCTTTGGAATTTACATCGGCATCACCATGTTGTGCCAGTAGGCATGCAATTGATCCCTCCTGTTTTCCCATCGCTGCGCCTTCAACTGAAAGAAAATTCTGTATTGTTGAGCGGTGTGTGGATGGGATTTGGGAAGTGGTGAACTTTGCGGTAATTCCACGCTAAAATGCTATTGTGTAGCACAAGGTGCAGGTGAAGAGGACGATCTCAATACTTACCCAATAAGCTTCTAGCCAGAGGTCATATGCTATTGTTAGAGCGAATGGTAGTTCCAACTGTTCAGACTAAGCATTGTTTTCTACAACTAAAATAACCGCGCGCTGTGCTTTTCAGCTTTGCGTTACATGTATCCGTATGTAGCGCAAAGCTGAAAAGCACAGCGCGTTGTTATTTTAGTTGTAGGAAACAATGCTTATTTTGAACAGTTACGTACTTTAGTTTCTCCACGGCTTGATAAGTCATATTCTGGTTAGCGAGTGGAGCATAAACTAAGTCTCGCGAGAATACAAAAGTGGATGAAGCGTCACTGCATGCTTGTTGGTAGGGAAAGTATTACAGAGATGCTTAATTAAGCAACAAACAAGCTTCCAGGGGGAAACCTTCCTAGTTATGGACCTCAATGATTCGAAGATGGTTTTTCCGTCCGTGTACAGTGTATGTTTCAGTGGGCGTCACGATTAACCTTTAAGCTGGACCAAATGGTGTGGCGTTCCTACGCCGCTTGAGTCTAGAGAGGCTTCAGGTGATACGGTAAGGAAGTCGTCCAGCCACTTAAGGGGTATTGCCTGTTTTTCCGATTTTTCCCTTAGTAAAAATCAGGCTTTGTTCTTCTAAATTTCGAACAGGTCCGGTAATGGCGTTATGCCTTGTAAACAGCTATCTCGAGGAATCCAACGGCGTCAAGTGCATCACCTCCCTTCAAGGAAACTAGCAAGCGTTGTATCAGTATGAAGCCATACAGCATGCTAATTTCCCTGAAGGGACGTGATGCACTTTACGCCGTTGTATTCCTCCGCTCTTCCGATTGCACTGAGAATGCATAGCACCACAACAGAGTGGTATTCCTTGTTCCTCCCACTTTTTCTGCTCTCTACGCGTTCAAAGTTCCGCAAAGCACTCGTCAACATGGCATTCTCCATACAAATTCAGGCTTTTAGAGAGAACAATCTGCACATGCGGCGTCATGGGAAACGGTTGTAACAAACAGAAGCCTCACCACATCCGGGAGTGCACGCACGGAAGATTTGTGAAGGCTGCTTACTCCTTGAGCATTCAACATTGGCCGCTGGCCAAACGAAATGTTCCTCTAATTGGGTAGAATGCCTCCGGAAGAGCAGAATACAGGCACCTCAGTTTGGCGTGCAGTTGTGTCACTGCTCGCACTGAGGCGTTGGCCAAACAGTGACAGCAGTCCATGCCAAACAGAATTATCCGTGGTATGCGGGAGACGCTCGTGGCAGTGTAGGCAGGTAGCTCCCGCCCCCCCCCCACTGGCCTCTATCTTCGCAGGGTCTAGTTCAGCGGATGTTGACGAGGGATCGATATCCAAATATTTTGTGCTCTTGCATGCCATTACTTCCAACGAACCAGGTACACCAAAAGCCTCCAGTGCTTCAAACGCTTCATTTCAGGTATATCAGGATTAACCTCTTCGTGTTCCAACCAAATGAGTTCACAGTTCTAAAATTAGTTGTACTCTTCTTTGCGAGTGAATACGAGGAATGCCGTGTTTTGCACCGATTCCTTCGTGGATCAACGCCCAAAGCGAATATACTTCTGAACTCATCTACTAGGCCTTTCACCGTAGACAGTGAGGACGCGTAGTCTGTTGAGGAACCTTGTATAAAAGGGATCATATTCGCTGTGCCCATATGTTCTAAAAAGCATATCTTGAACATATATACCGAAACACAAATTATTTGACTGCTAAGCCATGCATCTTTAAGAGCTCGATGTCCCATATAAGGCGAAGAGGCTCCGGTGCTGAGTTGGAAGCGAGTCTGCTTGGGTGCATTGGGTTTTCAGTGGGTTTGAAGGCTCCTGGTTATTTTACTCACACAGAAACTCATGCTAGTTCTGCTCACACAGAAACTCATGCTAGTTCTGCCTACGTATTTATCGTTTCTCGAATGTACATGGATCAAATCACTCAAAATTGAGGTCTTCGTCCGGGTGCTCCAATAATGACCGACAAATGCGTGGCTCCATTGTCCTGTCTACCGCCCTCCCCTCTTTTGCATGATACTTCTGATTCAGATGTTTCTAAACTTCCCCCGCATAACATTTTTTCTGATTTGACATCAACTACGTAAAAGCAAAGAAGCATCTAATTCCCTAGCTGCGTAACTTCGGATACCACACCAACGTGGCTGCCTGGGTGAAGTAGTGAAAATGGCTGTTCACCACTAGCAACCGTCTGGATAGACAGGTGGCTGACACCTGTTGCATTCGCCAGCGGATTCGCCAGCGCAGTTTCCACGTGTTCGACATTCGGATCATTTCGAGATGCTGTACACCAATACTGGTCGAGCAGTGGCATGCTTCTATCTTTCATGAGCAGGTACACCATTAGTTATTCCAGATGCTCGTCTTCACCTTGGACTCCTGTTGCCGCAGTAGACGGCGATTGGGTTTTAGCCATGCGAACGCCCTGCGACAAACCACCAAAACAGCTTCTCCACAATAAGCCGCTTGCTCACCTCAACCTGAAATGCTGGTATGTCTCACACTTTAGCTCCTGTATTCTGCCTTCTTTAGCTCTTTTTTAGCTTGTGTTCTTCAATTCCGGGGGCGAACCAACGTCATAGTGCACATAGGAAGGGCCCCACCATCGGGTGTTGTTTCCGCAAGACAGCCCCTCGTGCACTGATATGCAAATGGCAGACGTGGCATGGCAAACACGGTGCGTTGCACTGCAAGGCATCGAGAGAGGCGAGTAAGCTACACCTGAAGAATGTTGACGGCTTGGCTGTGTCTTAGTAAATCTTCTATCGACAGGCAAGGCGGTGATAACAAGCGGGAATAGACCGCCTCCTAAAACAACGATTGTCTCCCTGTACAGCTAGCTGGATGTATATGCCTTCGGTCGCCATCATTGCGACTCTCTTGCCCGCACAATGCAAACCAGGCAAAATAATGGCTTCTCTCGTGAGCGACTGTTGTTGAAAAGCTGTTGGTTGACAGACAAACACAAAGCCTTGCAACAAGCACCTACTCGACCAGCCGTCATTACACACGGAACTACCCCTCAATACGTTCGAATCTAAAACCTACGGGAAAAGCTTAATCCTATAATATGTGTTACAAATTTTGACACGATAGTTCAAGCGGATCTGAAGGCCAGCTGTTTTCCGCTTGTGGTAAGTGGAACACTGGAAGCCCGCTGGCAACCCAACGTAGTGGAATATCAACTGGAAGAAGTTATTGGAATATTCAGCATAGTCTGTTTTATTTTAGCCTGCTCGAAGTGGGCATGTGAGAGTTTCAACCATTGATAGACGAACAGGGCACAAGCCGCATAGGGCTCTACTTCCAGCAGATCGGGCCGCCGATCACCTCACGAATCCTGGAGTCAAGGGACGCCACGCTAGAAGACTTCGACCTGCAACGCAGTACCCCAGACTGTCTGTAAATGGTGACTTCGGCAGATAGGCGGTTTGGAGATTATTTGCGCAGAAAACCAACGGTAGACTGTAGCTAGTGGGAAATTATTTGTGCAGAAAAATGTCTTCGTCCAAAAAATTTGCTCATATGCTATTGAGTAATTTTGGCTTTTCGAAGAACATACTCTACATCCTTTCTCCGCAACCCAGTGGAAGCCCCAGCAGTAACCGTGGATTTTGCAGGTGTCTCGTGTTGAAGATGCCAGAGTGTCCATACATCTTTTCTGCTTGTTTCTTACTGGAATTAGTTGTTGCAATGAGAATGACTATATCGCCTTCGTTCTACACGCTTATTGAATATCACAAACTTTGAACAGGCTAGATCAAGTTGGCTCTGACAATCAGCCCCGTAACGCGGCAGTGGGTTCAACTGGGGGATTCGAAGATTTTAGCTGAACACTGAACTACGTTGTTCAATAATTGGATGCGTTCGTTGTTTTAAAAATGTACTGTAGCTCGCAAGATACCTGAATCAACTTGCTTGAAACAGAACAACACAAGGCGCCTATATGTATCAAGGTTTCGGGAGGAGGTTCAACGGATGATTTGCGCATACACTCTGCCATAGCCGGTGTCCGAATTCCAAAGGGGCAGGGGAGGGCTAACATCGGACACAGCCTGATCACTAATAGATCCGAATCGAGTCCGTTTGGTAGTGTCGTCCACGTATACAGCTGGAAAGTGGCAATCCATTACGCGCAGTGTCGATTGACTCTACGATGGTGAGCGGTGCTGGCGCTACAGAAATGGAGGAAGATGCATGCTGCAGTGACACAGCTGCAGCACTGGCCTCTTATTTACAGGGAAGTGTAGCCAAGACGCTAGCAGAAGGCATCGCCGCTACGATAAAGGCTCAACCTGAGGGTACGAGTTGGTAGAGCGGCGCGCTAACATACCGCACATGCCACTGGAGGTGTATAGTGGTTAATAAGGGTAATAGCATCGCTCGTGATGTAGCTACATTTCATGAAGAGCCAAAGCGTTGCTTGTGTAAGTTGGGGATGAACCAATCCTTTTACAATCCTGTCTTTGTCCGTTGAGTTTGTTGGAATAACGACAGAACACAGGCACTTACTCCTTGCTATTTTGCTTCAGATCCCCCCCTTTTTCTTTCCCGCTGGTTGCTGCAATACGTTGAGCAACGAAAAAAACGGCTGGAAGTAAGAATGAAAGCTGGCAGAATAACTAACCAGTTGGGGAGAGCACTACCAGCTAAATGACCGTGTGCTGCTTCCGCGTAGGAGCCTAAGCAGCACACACTGAGCGGCCACTGAACCGCACTAAAACGATGGAGTCCTTTAAAGTTCTCAAGTTGGAATGATGCGTGCCATGCAGGCATCATCAGCGGCACCAAGAGTAGCTTCGGTGGAACAGCAAACACAAAGTACAGAAATGCAAGCGTCGCCTAAGCAATTGGATTTAGGAAATGCCATTGCAAAGGACAACCAAGCCATTCAAGCCTTTCGAGAAGTAGAGTGGGTGGAGGAAGAATCATTAGTTAAGCTTCTAAACCATTTGAAGGAAAAGCTTGGCGCAACAGGGGTGTACCTGGCAAAGTATGAGGAACACCCAGCTTCCAAGGAAGAAGAGGCGGCTGCAACGCTGAGATACATAGCTGCTGATGATACTCACTCTTACATGCTGAACAACTGTCTCCGCGAAGTAGGTTCCACATGTTTCTACATGCACTTTGTAGATACAAGACTGCTCATACATATAGTTGTAAATACATTGTAATTAAAACGAAACAGTTGGCGAGTTTCCTCTCAACGAGGAAATTCACTGGAAAGCTTGAGCTACTCAGTTGGTGGCGAGCAGTTTGTGCAGGCTTGCAAATGCGTACTCTAGATACCTAAAGTACCTGTGACCGCATTTTGTTGTTGCGACTCTTGAAGGAAGAAGGGCTGACCTGGGATTTACTGCAAGATGACGAACCAACTAAAGAACTCGAAGGGACATCAAAGGATTCTAAGGATGAAGACGATGCAGACGACGAAGAAACTGTCGCTGACAAAGAGGCTGAGAACAGCTCGCCGTCTGGCAATGCTCGTGGAGATGAAGTCAATAAAACAGTCACCCGCAAAACTGTGATTGTTGATGAAGTTCTGGACAACCCTCGCATTCGCTTTTTTGGCATTACTCGACCTGGAAGTTACATGGCTGTCTCGATAGAGTTGGCTGAGGTCGCAAATACTGACTCAGTATTGGCTCTTTTCAACTGGATGAAGGAGAAGAAGGCGAGAGAGGAGGCGATTGCTGCTTCCCAGGAACAAGAAGAAACCGCTTCGGCGGCAAGTGGTGAATATCACAGCTGATTGCCACATCCCACAGAGAGTGTTGGAGCTTCTGTATTGCGTACAATGCCCCCATGGCCTGAACAGTACCACTAATAGAGAGGGTCCATTGCGACAACAGATGGCATCCGCTGAGTATCGCCCCACTGGAAAATGTCGGAGGCATGGTCCTTTTACATGTAAGTGGCAATGCGTGCACAGGAGAGTCCGGGGCTCCTCCTACCGACTTTGGTGGTGTTGAGGGCAACGAAGGCGATTCAAATGAGGACGAAGACACCCTAGACGAAGCCCGTAAGCCTTTGCCACCGCCAGTACTTCGAAGCACTCGAACAAAATACGTTCTCTGCGCTGATTCACTGGGACAAGAGATTGCACTTGGAAGAGAGGAACTTCGGTGCCTCCAATTATTTGCCGAGGAGATCGGAAAAACTATCCTTCGAACTCAAAACGAAGCAGTCGAGAGACAAGTGAGGCTGGTGAATGGGGATTTCATCTGCAAGCCCCAACGCACTACAGTCGATGACAAAACGAAGAATGATATCATTTGTAGCCCGGCATTTGACTACAGTTCTAGTTTAGTGTAAGCCCTTCGTTCGCCCGTGTTTGATATGCCGCGCCGCTGGTTTTTAGGCAGCTGAAATGTTGAGCGCTAGTGAGGTACAGAATCTCGAGCAAGATCTCTCGGAGTTGCAACAAAAGTGCTTGATCAAGTTGCAGCAACTCCAGGAACAGCGGCAAGGCGAAACGCTACAGCAACTTGACGAAAAGGAAGCAGAGGAGATAGCAGAGGCTGAAAGACGGCGACAAGAGCAGGAAGAAAGGAGGCGAGAAATTGCAGAAGAAAGGAAAGCAGCAAAGTTGGCACTGAAAAGTGGGGAGGAGAACGAGGGCGCTGATGATGAAAGCGTTGACAGCTTGTCGCTTCAAGGAGAATCTGACGACGGCAAGAAAGAGGAAGAAGTGATTATCCCTCCAGCCCTTTCCAGGGAATGCGTTGTTGAGGCTATAGCAGCCCAAGCTACACTTGAGGCTTTCAATGATGAAGTGCTGACACCTCTTAAAGAGAACCTCTCGTTAAGTGAGTGACCTGATCACAAAGCTCCAGGGGACTGCGCTCCTGGATGATTTACCATGTGACGCGTCTACAGAGAGCAAGTCTCTTGTTAGTCCAGTATCTGAAAATAGAAAGGGGTGGGGTGCTACTTTCATTTCTAGGTGCCTCACTGTGTGCTATTCAGGCAGAAGATACATTGCCGACTCCCCTGCGTTGGTATCAGCAGGTGCTGCTTGCGCCCTCCTACTAGGCTACGATGTAAAGGTTCTGAAAGTGAGACCTGCCGCAAAAGAGAGCCCGTGGAATTGGAACCGCCTGCGTCAGCTCCTGACTCCTGCATTTGCGGACTCCATGCTGGCGTTTGATCCCAAGGGTAAGCAGCAGCCAACGCAGGGAATGCTGCTCAAAAGTCGTAGGCTTCTGCCCAATTCACCGTCCTCTTCGAACATTGGGATATTTCCAGCATGACGGGCACTCTGACTCCAACTGCGACTGCAGCTCCCCGCCACTATAAGGACAAAGAAAACAGTCTCCGTTTTATCATGGAAATGCTGGATATTGAGCTTCAAGTGGAGGACGAACAGCCACAAGCCCCTCTTGAAATTCTCTTGTCCTCTTGGGTTACTGTGAGGAACATTACTCCGCTTTTCCGTTTAACACAAAAAAAATTATCCGTTGAGTTGAAAAGTTGATAGCTTGATTCATGATTATGATTATGCTTCTTGCACTTTTGTTTATTTTTGTTCATCGCAGTATGCAGTGAAAGCCCGCAGAGCCCAGCTGATATTACAGCGGGAAACTCTTAAAAGGACTGCGTTAATGCAGCGAGCGCCTGCCCCCCAGTTGCCTGAACTCGTAGAATTAGACGCCGACTATGAGTGCATCGAAGATGTTGAGGTTTAGGAATGTTCGCATCCTTCAACAAGCCATTCGATCCGACAAAACGTTTGACGCGTTGGAGTCCTGCATAGGCTGCAGCTTCCAGTGATAGCTGAGAACCACGACCACCTTAACTTTATGACCCCCGTCAACTCCTGGTGTGTCGCGGGGTTCACGCTCGCCCGCCGTTAGGGAGTGGCGGAATGAGCAGAATATCAAGGGTTCTCTCCCGATATAAGGACTTCACAATGTGCACATCGCCGGCTCTTTTGGGCTCCTTGTGGGTTCTGCTGCTTCTGTTGGCATAAGCTAAAAGAGAATGCCGGTCCAGAACTGTGTCCTGAGCAACTTGCAACATAGGACATGGTCGAGTCATGCTGGGTCCATTCGCGTTAGTTTTGACTACAGCGGTTTTCCCCAGACAGCAGAATCGTCCTCTTGCAGCTGAGAGAATATCTGCCGTCTTTTGTTCTGGGATCGACCCTCGTTCTTTACTCGTCATCAACATGCTTTGAAGAAATGTACATTTTGATGATGCTGTCTTTCCGCTGAAGTCCAGCGGTGTTGGTGTTTGTCTACGCAAAGGGTTGAAGTCAGCTCTCACCGGTTTCTGCAGATTGCTCGTAGCACATCTTTCAGTGGAAGGCCTGACTGGCTTGTGGGGCGTCGGTGTAGACGTGGGATCCATCAGAGCGTGTTACCGTGCTTGCTTGTAAATCTGCTCATTTTCGCTTATGCACAGAGCAAATTTGTAAGGTATTTGCGCCGACCATCTGATACCGATTCGCATCTCCAAATTCTGCCGCGAACTTCAGTCCGTATGCTGTATTAGTCTACCTATACTTTGACTGCCACCAGAGCGGACACCAAACAATGCCTGGGGTTTTTGTTCCTCTTTGCCACGTTGTTGGCAGCGAGATCCATACTCCGTATGCTGTTCTACGCCATATTTTGAATGGAACAGGTTTCCACTGACTGGCACCAGAGCCGAGTACCGGACAAAGGCTCTGTTGACACCCAAAGCCTGGCTTTCCTTCCTTTCTCCTTGTTGACTGCTCTGGTGCCAGTGAATGGAAACCAGCGGGCTAGTGGCAAGGTCACGGGCCTTGGCCTTGGGTGTTGACTGCTCTTGTGCCAGTGAATGGAAACCAGCGGGCTAGTGGCAAGGTCACGGGCACACCATCATCTGCTGCTTCTTCTGGTGCTGTTGCTGCTGCTGCTGCAAGCTTAATCTGTGATGAAGCGACCACGGCAATACACTGGTGTTGCTCGACGTGCATCCATTAGGACAGCGCAAGCTTTGAAGACAGCTCTGTGGTGAAGCGACCGCGGCACCACACTGGTGTTGCTGGATGTCCATCAATTAGGACAGCGCTGGCGCGTACACCTGCGTCTGTAGTGCCTGCTTGCAGCTTCCCAACGAAAGGAGCAACTGCCGGCTAGCTAAATCGATATTCTCCGTGACCTAAGGAGGATTAGGCTCGGCAGGCGTTGTACAAAAATAGGCTGGGAGTACATTCACCAAGAGTCGCTTCAGGAGTTGTACGAAGCAAACTCGATATTCAATTGGTTTCCTAAACACTTGCTGGCTTCGCCTTATTACATGCGGATTGAACATACTCCTGCAGTATATTGCAGACACAAACTGGCAGAAAGTCACCGGTGTGCTTCGCAGGGCTTATCCGTGATGGTAGACTCCACCGCCCGATGCAAGATGGAAGCAGTGACCCAAGCGAGGAGTGCAGCGGATAACGCTGAACACACAATGCCGGCAGCTGCTACACTTGATTTCAAAGAAGCTAATAATCAGAGGAAAATGACTTTTGGTCTGTGCACTGTTGGTATGATTCGGAACATTTCCATGCGGTGCCGACAGCTCTAACGTGCAGGCGTATTCGGTGGTCTGGCAGTGCCTACGTGCTTGCTAATCTGTAAATGGAACAGATTGGGCATAACAAAGCTGCAAAACCTTGTATTCCTCGATTGAACATACAACTGCAGTAGATTGCAGACACAAACTGGCAGAGCGTCACCGGTGTGCTTAGCAGGCTTATCCTTGATAGCGATTTTCAAGCATGTGACATTAAAAGCGCTGGTTGCCTCGGCTCAGTCACACGCTCGTATATTGTAGTGAGATTGGCTACCCGTGCCACAAACAAACTGACACGGTTTCCAAGACCGCTCTAAGGGCAGCTGCACGCAGTGGGAGAAGCAGTCCGTTTACAAGCCAGTGGCCAAACTGAAGCGGTGAGTGTTCCCGTGAAAGGTAGTAAAATTTATTGACACTGATACGCTGAGACTAGGAGCAGTGAATGGCAATGAATCACCTACTGTAAGTACGCGAGTAGCTGTCGACTATTTTCTATATACATCCAGCATAAGAACGAACCATGTGGTGCCCTTGCTCATCGCCAACTGCTCGGTAGCTATAATTCACACATTTCACCTTTTTGGCAGCAGCGATATTCGCTACCCTGTTGCATTTTTGGCTATACTGCGTTAAGTTGTGTATAATTGTTAAGCTGCTAGCATTATTCGCACGCTTCGATTACTCGGAAAGGAGCTGACAGTATTCTGAAGGATAGGCGTTCTAATTTAATACTGAAGGTAATTAGATGCTTCAACTGTGCCAAGCCAAGCGTTACCACACAAGCACATTTGTTTTGGAAGCGGGAAAAGCAATTCGCTGTCTAGACGTCCTGCAGGTGAATCTGCTTAGAGCCTATTTTGTAGCCACTCGCTTTGGGCCAGGAGGCATTGCGATAGAGGTCGGCCAGCAAAAAGAGAATATTTGATGGCGTAGTCATCGGAGGTTCAATTGCGCAGCAGCTATTTGGAAATTGTTTGAATATAGAACAGCAAAACGTAAAGCTTAATAGGCTTCTAGATGCCTGGACCTTCAAAGTCGCCAGCTTTTTAGTGCACATGATTGACTGTAATATACAGAAAAGAAATTTAATTGCGCAGAGTTTTTATCCATAAACAAAAAATTGAAAGCGTTGGAGTTCCGCAGAAGTCTTCTTTAGCAGCCGGCACACAGTATTGGCTTACGTGTGACAGAAGATATGTAACCGTCAAGCACCTAACAGCGTGAAAACACTACATACGCCTTCAGTACTCCTGCGTCGGAGCGCTGCGCACAGAAATTCTGTTCCAGCAATACCTAATGTGAATAATCCGTGCTTAGCTTGTAGCTCTGCAGAACTCTGCAGCGACCACATTTATGATAAACGTGGGTAGTAGCATTGTCGAAATAGAGCAAATGACAGCTAATATTTGCTTCAAGCCGTGTATACACGGCTCTCAATGGAGCGTGCGGTACCAAATATAACAAACGCGTAGCTAATATCATTGCATTAGCAGCATAAAGTTCTGTGGTTCTGATAACTAATGCATTTAGTAGAGACACAATGGTAGGTGCTTAAAGTAGATAAAAGAGCAAGTCCTATTCACTTCACGCTGACTGCAGGAGGATCAACATTTTGTATCGTAGAGGGTGAAATATACTGTACCAAAGAGAGCATTGCAGTTTTCTATTGTCCAAGCAATTCTAGCAGAACCCAATGTCATATTCATAGTAGGGGAATATGAGAGAAAACTATTATAATAGGCAAAGGATACACTCGTGTTTTCGGAAGATAGATTTTACTTTTTTGTAGCCTTAGTGCACACATGTCCTCTAGTGCTCTCCATAAAAAGGCATATTGGAATGCTTGTCCGTGTGTCTCTTACGGTTATGGCTTCACGGGATAGGAAATAGCAGGTACAGAATACCGATGTCACTAGTTTTGATTAGCTTTGCGTACAGACTACTCCAAAATATAGGTTCAAACACATTAATTTTCTATTTGCGTGCAGGAGTACAGAGATTTTGTAGAACTTCACCTACTCAATGATCGCTCTCTAGAGCTGGTTAGACTACACCAAAGTGTAGTTTCAAATACATTACTTTTCCATTAGAGTGCTGCAGTACAGAGATTTTGTAGAACTTCACCTAATACATGATCGCTGACTAGGGCTGCTCAAACAATCTTGCATATTGTGTGTTTGTATAGAATACAGATGCGGATTTCAGAAATGGATGTGCCACACGCTAAACGTCAGCCCTGCGTTTATGCGTATACCTTAGGTCAACTTTACGAAGCCTCTTTCTGTTTAGGAGGATTGCTTGAGCAGGCCTAGTCAGCGATCATCTATTAGGTGAAGATCTACAAAATCTCGGTACTGCAGCACTCTAATAAAAAGGTAATGTATTCGAGTCTACGTTTTGATGTAGTCTAAGCAGCCCTAGACAGCGATCATCGAGTAGGTGTAGTTGTACAAAATATCTGTACTCCTGCACGCTAATAGAAAATGAGTGTGTTTGAAACTATATTTTCGAGTGCTCGGATGCGCATATCTCGCTTGTACATCCAGCCGGGGGACTGGAATGCTGTATAGAAGCACAATTATGGACACGTCAATGTGGCGAACTGGAAACACTTTTGGTGTAGGCCCGACCACCCGGACTGTCGAATATACATATGCTGGATATATCTTTCAGTTGCGTCTAACTCCACTAGATGTGTACTGATTCTGGTAGGGTAGATCATCTACTTAAATTTAGGGAGAAAGGTGTAACGATTAGGCAAACACCAGTGCCAGCAACACAGTGTATTCAAAATGGTACTAATTGCTTGCTACCGACCTGTGCGTATTCAGGCTGCTCGAGTAAACGTTAACTTCAATGTGTAATAATTGCAGCAGTGTTCCTGCATTCCAGCAGAATAGAACATGATAATGCCTCTTTGTGTGCCATTATAGAGCTATGGGTATTCCAGCAACCGCCGTGTCCGTGCTGTCCGCGCTTACAGGTCCATGTCTAGTGACACCCAATATTTCTTCTGTTTTTGAAAGTGTAAGTCTTTGCTAGCGCCGTCTTTGGCGTTCAGTATGCAGGAGGGGGCATGCCAAACTCATGTGTATCCTCACTTCGTAATCTATGCCAGTGTCCACCGAGAGTTAATGGATATTTGAGAGTTAGC